CTGTTGCAGATATAAAAATTTCCTGAAATAGCCACAAGTGTTAATTTAAGTATTAACATTTAAAAAAGTCAACTTTATTTTTTGAAATAATTATTTCTGCATATTAAATATAATCGTATAAAGTAGGTTTCAGTGTGTTAATCATTGTATTGCTGGTAACTATACGCCAGCGATGTTTCATTTATTTAATTAATAGCATACTGCACAAGAATTTATAGGTGGGTTATAAAATAGTCCAAGGTTTCTTGATCTATTAAAGTTGTTTTCGTAAGAAACAAAGGGAAACAATCTTCGGTAGATGTTAATATTACACATTACTTGCATCCGGAGTCGGCGTTATTCAGATTGTAAGTTGATGTACATCGCTCCAACACAGCCCAGGTTCTGTCGATGTCTTCACAACCTACAATGAGATTTACGTTACTTTACATGTACGACTGAGGATTATAGTAAGGTTCTTGCCAGATTTGAATAAATTTAATTACGCTTCATTTCCCTGAAGAAATATCTATTAAAATAAATTTGTAGTTTTTTCGTATAATTTGCACGCCTATTTAAGATTAAAGCAAATTTAAACTCAAGTTCGCGTACGCATTTAAATTATTTTTGATTTTAATAAGGTGTGATTTACTTGCCGGAGTCACAGATGTACTTGAACACACGTAAAGTGTCTGCCTCAAAATCTTGCACATACAGTTTTTCGCCAAAAGTACAATTGCTGTCCACCATCAAGGCATTCTCTTTACATCTGACGCTTTCTTTGTATGAACTTTGATAAAAATGGGAAACAAATATCAGAAAAAAGTATTATAACTGAAAATATGGGTACGGCTAATTCAAATCGAGCAAAGATTGTTGACTAATTCTTCTTTACAGATAAAATAAGTATTCACAGACTTATTAGAATTTTTGCAAAAATTAGGACATTTTTTTTTTGAAATGTGTACAATTCTGTATAACGATCTTGAACTAACTTGCAGAATTCTTGAAATTTCTTCGTTATGTATAGGTTATACTTCACTAGACCCGAACACGCTTTAATTTCTTCCATCACTGGACAAACTGCAAGGAGAAAAAAATCTAATTCAAATTAAAAGAACGATTAAGTTCCTCGTGTAATTAATTTCATAATGATTTTCTTAAATGTTTTTCTAACTTTTTCAATTTCACTAGGATAAAAAAGATTAGTAATGTTTTGTTATTCACTCACGTTCAGAGCATTTTAGCTGGAAACTTTTCTGAATGTTTTGCAGTCTATAGTATTCAGCTTCGTTTCCACCCCATTCACATTTAATGACAGCATCAATTAAACATACAGTTCGGAACTCCTTTGTTTTTTTCCTGTTGAAAAAAAAAACAACAAAAAAATTACATCATACCTGCACACTGGGAAATCACAAATTTTTCGCTTCGTGGGGTTTTATTTTCGTTGTTTTCGAATCTCCAAGTATGAAAAGACCAACCAATTCATGTCCATCACGAAATGTAAAATGTTAAATACATAACCACTCAACAATTCATCCACGAAATCAAATCTCCTCGAACCAAGACTTTTTCTTCAAATCACGAAAAAATTACCCCATGAATATATGTTAATTTACACTATACATTTTTTTGACATTCAAAATATTGATATTTCAGATATAAGTAATATTTTGATTCACCAGTACATGTACATTTGTTGACTTACAAACAGAAATCTATGACATGGGAATCATTTTTATTTGCGAGAGTCTCGTTAAAATCTCGTTCTAACGAGAGCGCACACTGCTCGGCGGTGACACAGCTCCAAGACTGAGCATCTGTACCAGGAATCAGGAGGACCAACTCAAAGAACAAGGCGCAGAACCAACCTATCAAAAGAGTTGTTTCTAATTTTATCTTACCAAAATTATACATTAGTAGATATATATTGCAATTTCAATCTGATCAAAGAGGTAACTTCCTTGCTAGAATTTTTAAAGCTTATATAAAAAAAATGAAGTTCAACATTTAAAAGATAGGAAGATGAACACATGCATTTTGAGGGGAAAAAAACAACAGAAAATGGCTTACTAAATCCAGTCATATGTAGCAGTGCCATAGTGTGGACCGTACTCCAAGGGACGTGAAATAATAATAAAAATGGTGGTGATGAATTAATTTCCGTGATGAGTGGTCGTCGCATTAAACTGGAAGTGAGCACTTGGTGCATCTATGTTATCAAACGCCAACTTTCAAGTATTTTTACACTTGGTTTTATGTTATAAAGCGTCATATATAAAAAAAACATAATATGTCATCTTATTTTGTGTATTGGATATATCAAAATGAACTGAACCTAAAATATTGATTATTTCTACCCATTATAATATTGCTATAATTAATTGCAATGGCCTGAAAGACGGTTAGTACTATTTGAAAGGCAACTGCAATAGAACGTCCCCAGGGGTTGAGGTCCATCAAATTTGTTTCGTCAGTTCTGTTCAAAAGTCCTTTTTAAACATCTATATAAATATTTGACTGTTATAGAGATTATCAATTCATTTATTATATAGAGAGAGTATCTTCATGTGTGGTAGGTATCCGTCTCTGCCTTGTACGGCCGACTGAGAGACATTCACATCACTATCATTTCCTCTGAATCATCCGAAGTAGTACTCCGTATCAAATCTTCCTTTTCATCTACGTATCTGAACTTAACATTATAAAAACCGCCTAGATATGATTAAAGACCCTTTCCATGCGGGTTTTTTTTTAAATTTAAAAAAAATGAAGTAGGGGCCTCTTTAGTCTGAGAGAAAATGTTAATCATCATGACATCATAAGAATTATTTCCCTTTTTGTTTAAGTTCAAAGACACTACCTAGGGAATGTATCAGTTTTAAAAGTACGAATCGATAGTCTGCAGTCGTGTCGCCCTTTATCTTCTAAAGCTGGTCAGGAATTATCTCCTCTTAGGATAACATGAAATAGGATTGACTCACTGCATTATTAATGAAGAAAAATAGGTCCAAAGTTCCATACCCCTTACTCTATCAATTGCATCAATGGCAAAAAAAAAAATTAAGTAGACTAGATTCTGAGATGCATTTATTGACAATATCTGTGGATTGCTTTGTTCGATTCTAAACTGGATATACACGAATAACAAAATGAAAATAAAAGCTCTATCTTTTGTGTCTTAAGAAAAACTGCGAGTGTTAAAGTTTCTCGAATACAAGTCAAATTTCAAAGTCAAGGTCAAAAAGTCAAACTCTTGGTATCCAAAAGAAGATCTGATTATGAAGTCCTAGCGCTTATTCTTCAAAAATTATAAACGAGGTTAAAGTGTTTCAACAGTGGGTCAAACTAGCTCTAAAGTCAAAGGTAAAAAAAAAATTACACCCCTTGAACGGTTTGGTCACAATAAATGAAACGAAAACCCTAGCACCAATTGTTAAAATGTTGTGGCCAGGGTTAAAGTTTGGTTATTTTTTGTAAAAGTGGGTCAAAATCCAAGGTTAGGGTCAAATATGAAAGCCATAGCTCCGCCTTGTAGCAACCGCTAATGATATAACGCCGCTTAATGATGCAAATATCATTAAGCGTTGCAATGCAACGCTTAATGTCATAAATCATTGCAATATTAGTTAGCATGCTCATCCGCCTAATGATGTAATTCTTTCATTAAATGTCAATTTAGCATTTGTGGTTGAAAAGGTCAACCATTGATGCAATAAATTATGGCATTAAGCGTTGCAGGTGCAACGCTTAATGATATTTGTATCATTAAGTGGCGTTATATCATTAGAGGTTGCTACACTGCCTTACGTGACTTTGGTACTTCATTTGAGTATTTGACTAGGAAAATAAGTCAATGGTAATCTAACATCAAAGCTTTGTGATAAACGTGTTGACTTTAACTTTTCAATCGTCAAAGAGTCTTTCCTTACTTATGCAGCAACGTAGTCGTATCCTTACTTGCATATGGAGTTTATATCTCCCAGATTTCCAACACGAGGTAAAATATTGACAGACAATTTGATGAAAGAGGAATTTCAAGAGTCTCATGTAAAGTCATCATTTCGAAAGTTCTTTGGTGGATATAGTGATCTTGTCAGCAAATACAATCTATCATTAAGTTAAATGCTGATTGACTTTTTTCATACTTGTTCTTTGACCATAATTTACACTATGTATTGTCGACGGATTTTCTCGTTATTTCCCGATCGTGACACGGAGGGCAGTGTGGACTGGTCGGCAGAGTATGCTCCTCCATGGTTTGTATTGGTTAAAAGGACTTTTGATCTTGAATACTTTTCCATATCTCCATATATTTCACACAGCAAAGTTTCTGTTCTCATTGTAGTTTATTCAATTATATGTGAGCCTCATTTTTATGCTCCCATAATCAGAAATTCGGGAGCCCATAGTTTTGCCCTGTCCTTCTGTTTGTCTGTCAGGTTTTCCATTAATTCATTTCTTTTCATTACTTTTATGAACATATATATCTCCACTTTTTTGTAACTTGTTTGTTGTATGTGGTTGAAACTATAATGACTTATATAAGATAAATGAATGAATGTTTGTTTTTCTAATTTTAAAAAAAACGATTCCTTGGTTGAAACTATGACTTATATACTAATCTATTTATCTCTAATTTAAAAAAAAAAAGCATTTTGATCCATCTTTGCAAAATCTTAACAGACTTCATAACCTTCGCCATAACTTTTGAAAGGGGTGATAAGATTTAATACTTCACAAGTTTATTTCTTGTGAAAAGGCCTTTCCTTTTCTACAAATATTTTTGACCTTGGATCTTGCCCTGCCTATAAAAAAATAATCCTAGTAGCCCTGTTTTTTAAACAGTTAGTATTATTATTTCTTGTTTCATGGGTGTATTTTCTGTGACAAGATCATCCATTGGGTATACATAAATTTGACCTTTTTTTTCTTCATCATGGAGTTCTAATTGACTCACTTTTATACATATGAACCTTAACATAACTTTTGAATTGTTTCTGCATGGCCTATGGTTTTATATTTCACAGATGTATTTCTTTGTTTGTCTTTTATTCAGTATATACATTTGCTTTGGAAAATCATAAAAATAAGAGATAAATTTCATATGAGTGAGCAGAGGGTTTATGAACCTTAAATGATCTTCACATGAGTACCAACATTTGACCATTTGTCCTTGACATTGGAGTTTGACATACATTTGAAAATAATTAACCATTTGCATAACTTTTGATTAGTTAGCGCTTGTCTTTACTTACTTTACCTGTATATTTCTTGCAATATCCTTTTGGTAGGTACATTGTACTAACAATTTTAACCATGTACCTTGATCTTGCAGTTTGCCCTACTTATGTAAAACTAAAACCTAAGATATACGTTTTTAACAGTTGTTATTAGGCTTCCAAATTTCATATATGTGCATTTCTTTTAACAAGATCTTCCTTTGAGTATAAAGAATTTTAATCATTTGACCTTGCAGTTTGACCTACTCTGGATTGGAATTTTAAAACTTGAAGTGAGTTTAGCAGAAGATACCCAAGAGCCAAGTTTAACCCCCTTCCCCGCAGTCACGCATTTTAACGCATATACCATTTCCTATTTCTGACGCAAAATCACGCATTTACCGTTTCCCCGCAATCACGCATTTTCACGCACTTTAAAAAGTTCATTAAATCTTCAATTTATTGTCAAAGTCCAACTATTTCATACTTACTTAATCTCATAAAATAAGAAAAATTGTTTTCTAATTAAAATATTACGTCTTTTATTTACGTAAACTTTAGAAAACTTGCACCCTGCTAGAAAGTGCTTTTTTTTATGAAGGATTCTCTAACAATTTTGTAAGTTGTAAAGTGTTAAAGTGTAGAAAAATTTAAGAACAAAATGGACCAAAAGTTTTAAAATTATATCAAATAAATATATTTTTTCAATCAAATTACAATAATCTTTTTTAAGTTTGAAAGCATGCAATCATAAAGGTTTTTTTTAAATTCTCTCTTTTTAAGCTGTCAAAACTTATTTTAGTATCTTTACTTTAAATAAAAAAAGTTTAAAAATATTCGAAGCATATTTAAAAAAAAACCAAACAAACTACATGTATTATTCCCTTAATCTAAATTAGAGGCAATTTGATGAAACCACTACCTATTTTAGTTGAATTATTTATGTCAGTTTGACAATATTATCTGATAGACCCTTTATGGTAATATAATTTTATGCAAAAATTAAAACACTCAATCTTTGAAAATAGAAGTAAGCATGATTGGCAATAGTTATTTTTTATTCTTAATGTCAATGAAAAAGAAATAAACATAGGATGATTCGCTGCCATATTAAATGAAAGATGACTGCAAGTCTACTGAAACGTGACTGAACGGTAAAGGTCTTCTATGCATGCAGTGACCTTTTCAGTGACCATTCATGTTGCAGGTTCATCTTATGTAATGACCTTGACCTGACCTTGCTTCTAAGATAAAACGGTCGAATTGATTCCATCACTTTGTTAAATTGTCATCTTTAAATTTGTGAAGATTTCATTATTTTCTAAGATGAGAATAATTCCTCCATAAGGTGTATTGATGAGTCTGATTTATTTCTTTGATGAGTATAAAGGGAAAATGGCGCCACTAAGTGCGTGTGTGCATCCGCTTGATAGGAAACTTACATCCCTGTAGGCTACAGAAAATTTAATGTGTGTGTGTGCGTGCATGTCTGTGTTTGTGCAAGGGTGTGTTTGTGTGTGATCCACTGTAATTATAGTTCCGTACGTTTACTTCAAAGGCTATCACCATTATTCAGTTAAATCAAATACTTTAAATAACAAGTACATACAAACAATACATACTTATAAATGTACTTAACAAATTGTATATAAGCTTTAAGTTTGTATAATTAAGAGAGGCGATTCTACCATTAGCTTAGAGTTTCCCGTCAGTGTAGTTCCCCGGATAAAAGGTCAACAAAGAGTCAGCGATCACATGGATTCGTCAATAAAACTGTGGAATTAATTGACAGAAACGTAAGAACTTCAAATACGTAAACTTAGCGTGGTGTGCGTGTCTAAATCGCGTTCAGAGTGAGTTAAAAATTCTGTATTAGGTTCTAAATGGCATTCTATGGACAAAAGTCACGGAAGGTAGGTGGGAAATGATTGCTATTAGCAGGGATATCGTTTTTAATACATCTCTGGTCAAAACGAACAACGGCTATATTATCTCGACTGTCAAAATTAAAAATTGACATCCCTCACTCCATTATATTTTGACGACTTCCCAGCAGGAAAATATTTATAGTGATTCATAAATATGCAACAGGAAATGAGTTTGTTTATGTACAATATAAAATATATTTACAATTTGTAACTGATCGTATTTACGGTTAGTTAAACTCAAGGCCACATGGTGATACTTATCTGTGGAATATATTAGATGAGGGATTAGGAAACCCACGATTCCAATTAGCTCTACTGCAGGTAAATTTAAAACGTGCATATTACACAATACTCTATATAAAGGCGTACAACCGATACGTTTCTCGAAGCTTTATTCATCGACATTTATAAATTCAATTGTCAAAACTGTTTATTTTCCGCTAATTTAAGGTGCTGAGATCATGCCTTTTAGAATTTTGAAGATCAACTTTATCTTTCCGGAATCCTAGGAAGATAATGTTTTTTCGTTGTTATTTCAATGGACAAGGAACTAATTATATCGGTTCTATGGGCGTCTTATCTGGTAAGTATGGTTTTATAAAACTTTGTAATATAGTTTAAACATATAATGTTTATATATGTTAGGGTGTATCCCAAGTTGATTTTATTTAAATCTGTAATTTAAAATACGTTAGAACAGAAACATTTCTAATTTCACCACTAAAAAAAAACAATGCTTATTTGAACAGTCGATCACGTACATCTGTTTTTTGCTTGAAATTAAAAATCATTTTAAAATCTTTAAGAAATGAAATATGATATATGTAAAAACCTTTTTTTAATCATACAAATGTATCTAAAAAAGTCAAAACAATTACACGTTTGAATATTGATGTAAGCACATGTCGTAGATTTTTTTTTAAACGAAAAACCGATGTCTCTTAGAAATCGAAATGTCAATCTTGTCAAATTTGTGTGTGGAAAAGTGCAAAACTTTTTTTGTAGTTTTTGCTTTCTTTCACCAGGTCTATTTGCCTTTCAGCAAGAAAAAAAAATGAAATTTATTGAAGAATTCTCAATAATTTAGTTTATAAAAACCTTTTTTTGTTATAATCATCGTGTTCTGTGGAGTAAGACCGCGGAACATTAACAGCAAGATTGGAAATATGCAGCGTCATTGCTTCCAAAAAATTACTAAAGCTTTTCTTTCCCAAGCATTTCTTTCAATTTTAGCAGAAGAATGGGTTTGTTTTACAAAAGACTTTATGACTAAGACCCAAATTTACTCTGCTTATAACTTTATAATTTGCATGAAAATTGAAAAAAAAATTAATCTTTTACAAAGGAGCGGAAAAAGAATATTATCATGTTAGTAAATTTCAACAAAATCATCATGTTAATTTTGCAAAAATTGCACTATTCACTTAAATCAGAGACATAAATAACTGTTATTTATGTCTAGGCCTAAATTTCAACAAAATCATCATGTTCATTTTGCAAAAATTGCACTATTCACTGTAAATCAAAGACATAAATAACTGTTATTTATTAAATTTTCCTTCTTCATAATTGCTTATTTCCGTTAATCTCAAATGTGAATTTAGCGCCCTTCATAACTGCCGTGGTTAATGGATGTAAGAGCTGTTTATGACATCAAATGACGTTAGATGACGTTGCAAAGTTAAATGACTCAAACAAACATTGCGAGGAAAAAAGTGACAAATTAATTCTTAACGCACTTTACGTTTTTTTACCTAAATTTTTCAGGAAAAGTTTTTCATTAAATTGAAATAAAACATTTTACATTTTAGAGGTAAAAATGCATATAGTTCCTACTGTGTATTCTAACGCGCGGTGACAAAGTTTTGCGTGTGTTATAGGGATTTCATAAGGAAAATTACACTGAATGTAAATATTTATTGAAAAAAAAAAGGAATTCAAAATCTAAGAAATATTTAGCGCAATATGACGTCATTTATCATTAAAATTCATTATGACGTCATTTTAAATCTTGATTCAGTTATAATCGTCGGGACATTCCAAATGCTGGGAGTAGTTCTTTTTGTGATTCAGATATGGATTTGTTCAGCAGAAGATGGAGGGGCCTTACGAAAAGAAATGGAACGGAAAGGAATGACGAATATTAAGGACACAAAACTATGGCATGAAGGTAATTTTATCAGGTAAGATTGTGAACAAACCTGCTATTTTAAAATTTCTTATTAGGAACAGTACCTGGCCATAAATGTGTCACAGGGGGGCCTAATTGTATTTTTCAACCATATCCTTGACAACGCATTTTATAATACAGATGTATATTAATATTGCTGAAAACACGGACATTACAAAAAAATTGTTATTCATTTTTTCGTTGTTCATTCTTGTCTACTTACAAGAATGCTATTACTAATAATTGACTACCATAATCTGTAGCAAAACTTTAGTCCTTGTAAACGACAGAATGATATGTAATTTTTTTCAAGACAAAAGGGAAATTTCAGTGTGATTCGATCGTTGGAAAATTTCGACACTGGACTGTAAATACTATCCGATTCTATAGACTATAATCTGCAAGACTGAAATGATTTATAAAAAGCACTGTACTTCTGTCTTTATTATAACAAAAATATATATTGAAACAGTCTCAGTGTAGTTTATTTAATTTCGAGTATAATGAAGAGAAATACATATCTGTAAACATTTCATGAAATGTGAAGATTAATACAAGTTTAGTCATTCTTATTGAACAAAGCCAACACGAACTCTGAAAAAGAGGTGGAATTGGGTGCTTTGAAGAAGCACAATAAAATGGTCACACCCGCCATGTGCTACTTGTCATGATCAGAAAAACAGAAAACTCCGGGGACAAGTCAATGTGTAAATAATGTATTGTCATTCAACATTTTTATTTCTTTACGTTTACTAATAGGCCAAAACGAGGAGCCGAATCTAACCTCTTGCCAGATTCCATAAAGGTTATGTTTGAGTATTCCGGGGAGAAATTTAACCTGGAACTCGCTAAACCAGAGAGCATCCTCCATCCGTCTGCGGAAATTCTGACTCTGACTAACACGTCTACTCTACGGTGGACGGACGCACACCCAGACTGCTTTCTTACAGGAGTAGTGACGTCACATGGTGGCATCGCCTCGCTGTCTTTCTGTGATAATATAGTATGCAATATGGCAATACATCTGAAAAATTAAAAATATATATATATATTTATCAGTTATTTTTTATGCCAAGATGCATGGATGTGACTGGATGTAAAAGTATTTCTTTTCTTTTTCTTAGTTTGGGATCATCAGTACTCCAAAGTATAAGTTACATGTGCAATCCTTGCCTGGGTCAACTAGTAAGCGATACACCCCTGTCCTTGTTGCTCAACACGAAGACAAAATCTCTTGTTCCAACCCAGCAACAGGTGAGTCATTTATTCAATATTATTGTCTATTAGAGATGTTCAATATTTCCCAAGATTTATTGTCATCTGTGGACATTAAATTGATAAGGAAGTGCTGTTTTCCAAAGGCGTTTTTCACATATTGTAGAAAACATGATTGAATCTAATGAGAGAAGCAGACGCTCGGTGCCGTCACAGAACATGACGATAGAGCTGGCGGTTTACACGGATGCTGCCTACACGAAAACCATGCTGGTCACAGATTTCGCAGAACGATTACAACATATATTAATGAAATACAACGCGGTATGTACAATATCTAATTAAAGAAATGAATACAATATAACCCCAATTTCCCCCTAAATACAACTTTGTTCAAACGTTGACATTTTGTTTTTATATACAAAAGTCTCTCTTTTTATGTAATTATATGAAAGAAATTCAAAACCGTTCATTTTTTTTCCACAACTTTTTGAAATATGACCCACTATTTTTTGTGTGATATTGTTTATCAAGGCAACCCTTTAGTACTAAAAAGTAAAGTATTTTGCTACCGGGGACCATATCTCTATTATAAACGGATCAACAGTTACTTAACTGCTAAATAATAAGTTAATAACGAGACAGTCACACGGCATAAACACGATCAAAATGTAGGCCCTGAATTAACCAAGATACAGGATATCTCTAATTATTTATTTTCCGAATATGGTGAAAACATGTCACAACTTATTTTTTCATTTAAACATCCTTGATTTTTGACATTTTTGTGCTTTATTCTTTTTTCTGGTGTACTTTATAAGAGATTTGATGAGTGTTTTATACTACCTTAATAAGAAAAAAATCTTATAAAATAACTATATAAAAAGTTAATTGCTTTAATGCATATTGATTTTTCGACAATTTTTCTCATTAAAATCATTGATGGTCGCAGATATTGCGTCAGTTAACGTAGCGTAACAGATAGTTTTATATCAGGTTCAGATGGAATGGTCCAGATCCGATATGCTAGGATACAGCGTCACACTAGTACTGAAGAAAGTCCACTTCTACGACACAGATCCAGTAAGATTTGACTTCAGCTCATACAAATACCACAAATAGGATTTACAATTTAATTCTAAAAACAAATACTGATCATGATATATAATGACAATAATGATAAAGAAGGCTTCTTTCGTTTAAATTTTAAAATCATATACAGATTATCCTAAAGTTAAGAAATGTACATCTTTATTTTTCTTGTACATCTGTTATACTTGATAAAATACCATTATTTCAGGCTTCTTTTGATCCATCTACAACCCTGCTGGGGGAAGTCCTGAACAAATTCTGTGCTGCTACAACAAACGATGGCCAGTTTGACATACGATATATGCACGTGGGGTAAGGAGAAAACAAATTATCAATGCAATTAGAATTTTTTTGCAGCTTAAGAGTCGAAACTACCAAAATTAAACTTGTTACAATTTTTAAAGCAGGTTTCATAAGCATGAATAGAAACAGGTGAAAACTGTTACTTTTGTGTATAAACCATAAGAAAATTCGCTGTTATCATTTTTACCTATTATTGATTTGCGTGATGTCAAAGCAATGAAGCTTTGTCCGTAGAAATGTCAAAAGTTTCGGACAAAAACCTTTTTCCAGCTTCTATTTGTTATTGTTATATAGATATTGCATGTAGTTGAGTGTAACATTGAAAATTTTCACCCAAGAAAAACATTGTTGACTGAGGTGCAGCCGAAGTTGACAATGGTTTTCGAGAGGTGAAAATTTTCAATGTTACACTCAACTACTTGCAGTATTAATTATATTATACTGAATGTTTTATACAAATACATATAACAGTGAACAGTGCGCGCATAAATTCTGCGCAGTCGCTATTTTTTTGGAATATCACCCGTCGTCAAGCACTGTTGACTGCTGGAGGGCGTGGATTCATTATTCAGCGGCTAATAGTATTTTTTAACAAATGTTTCTTGACCAATCAGATTCAACTAATTTACATGAAAGCATAATATCACATAATAATGACCTCCATTTTAACTTTATCCAATTGTCTAAAAGAACAATATTGTAAATGTGACCATTTTATCAAAATGATAAGATACATGTACTATAGTTGTTGATCTGGAAAAGTCGTCCCATCCTGACGGTTATCTTATATTTCCTAAGACTACAGAATCTGGATGTACTGGGTCGAGCTTACCAGAACGGCGTCTGTAACCAGCAGTATAACTGTGGAGTGGACACAGCCACAGGGGCAGCCAGCTTCGTGGCCACGGCCCACGAGATCGGACACCTGTAAATATCTCAACCTATATTTAATATCATCTTTGAAATTAAAAAAAAATTATGAAGAATATAACCCACTTGTTTCCTGAACAGTGAGAAATGAATATTCTTCAAATTGAGTATAATTTGAAAGGGGCTGAAAGTGTCTAAATCTTCAACAAACAAATTTACAAAAGAGCACAGAGTATGAAATGAACCTCTTCAAGAGAATAAGTCTTCGATTGCGCATATCAGCTCTTTTCTGGCACGTCATGATTTGGGTTTCTTTTGATGTCAGAAATAGTCTGTGAAGAAGTGGAATTATTGATGAACGCACAAATGAGCAATAAAAAGTGGATCATAAAATTTCAGTGCTTAAAAGGTGCTTCCTTTGTCTTTGTTTTAATGACTGTATCCATTTTTTATTTTTAAAAAAATATGTTATATTCATCCATACTCTTTATGCATTCGATATATCATTTACAAAAGCCTGAAAAAAACTTTTAAGCTTTCGATTGCATGATAATACTTCCTTGTTTGAAGAAAATTCTATTAAATTAAGTCATGATACAACTGAAGCAATCTTTTTATACGCCCGTCTTAAGACGGGACGTATTATGTTATAGGCTTCATGTCCGTCCGTCCGTCTGTCCGTCTGTCCGTCTGTCCATTCTTTTCCGGCTCATAACTTCAATACTATTAGGCCTAGGATTATCAAACTTTGTCAACTGATACTTCTTGGGTAGACGGTGTGTCGCGCACCAAAAGTAGGTCGCTCTGACCTTTAATAAAGATGCTATGGCCAAATATGGAAAAATCCTGTCCGGCTCATAACTAGAAAACTATTAGACCTAGAGCTATCAAACTTGGCAAAAGTATACATCTTAGGTAGAAGGTGTGTCGCGACCTATTTCAAGGTCACTGTGACCTTTAATTTTAGTGAAATTTTTTTAAAAAACTAAGTTTTTTAAATTTTAAATTTCATAATCCTAAAAATGTAAAAAATAGAGTTGTATCCTTATTAAAAAGTTTAAAATCAAGTAAAAACTTGTTTTTTCATCATATACTTTACAGCAATCTTAAACAAATTTCATGTTAATGAGAGGAATTCAGTTTGTCCCATGGGCTTAATTATCAAGCACTGGTCAGGAAGAATTTTGATAGCAGAAAGTTGCATGTCAAATTAGAGAGAAATTAATGAGTTTAGTGTGAGGAGGTAACTAGTAGAGCATTGGTGTTATCCCTTGGGTATTGGGCAAATGGACAGCCAGCCTAACTGTTAGATTAAAAATAGCTCTTGTTGGCTAAGCCTAAGTTTTAAAATGAATTTGATGAAAAGTAATTAAAACTTATTTGATATTGCATAATAAACTAATAATCTGATATTATATAATATTAATTAATTAGAAACTAATTTTGTGGGGTGGGGTTGAATCAGCATGCCTACTTGACCATATGAATTAAATTTAAAACCTGTCTGGCATTAAATCTAAAAAGAAATCATGGAGTATTTTATATGTTTTAAAAGTGTTTTAGGATAAAAAGTGCAGATCCATTAATATTTAGGGAGTAATGAGTAGACAAGCATCCAGTCAAAGATTAATTAATGAGTTCAATGTAGGAAGGCTATCTGATCAAGCGCTGCCTTATCTGTATCCTTTGGGGATTAGACAGAAGAACTGCTGGTCAGTTTATAGAATATGTCATTTGATGGCCAGCCTTTCTTTTCAAAATTAATTTGGCATAGATTAAGTTGTTAAGACTAATTTGATATTGTTTATTATGATGGCCGGCATTTGACAAAGTCTAACACAAACAGTTGTATAGAAATCTGTCAGTTATGTAATATTTGTTATAATTATGCCTACAGCACAGGGGATGGATAAAGAAATATTTTTTTTTAAAATGGAAAAATCATGGAAATCTTAGAATCAAGGTTGAAGTGATTTTCTTGCAGTCTAAACTGTTAAAGATAATTGTGTAATATTTTGACGGGCATATCATGCTGTGGCGTGGCACTTTATTATGCCCCTGTTATTGTTCCATCAGGAAATACAAGGTAGGTCAAGAAACATGAAAACTGGGTGAGGGAATATTTTATTAGGATCTAGTAGGGCTGTGTATTGAGCCAAAATTTTCGATACGATACGATACAATATTTTTTTAAGCGATATGCGATATATTGGATTCTAAAACAAGTCCATCAGAAAAGGCTTATAAACCATTTTAATGCAAAAATTTCATAGCAATTAAGTGTTTTATTACCCATTTTAAAGTTCTTGTCTTATTGACATTACCAAAAACACTAAAAAACTTTTAATGACAGTAAATTCAACATGTTCAAATAAAATTCTCTTTGTATTTTGTAACAATTATAATAACTGTGTTATTTCCTTAAAAATTATATAATTATTGAACAGTTTTATTTCAAAAAAGTGAAATATAATCTTTTGTGATTGATATTTCCATCTTTTTAACAGAATTAGAAGAAAAAATGTCTGTCCGATACGTATTGGAAGTTATTTTTCGATAAGATATTTTTCTTGAATATCGATATATTGATACAGCCCTAGGATCTAGAGCATGCCTAGGGGCAAATCATATTAGTAGTCATGTATGTATATTATTTTATATTTGTTTTTACACATTTATATGTATCTTATGTATGTGCTAGAAATGAGTGTACGTCCTCTAATATACGTCATGTATTCATGTTTCATTTTCTCCCCTGCAAAAGTGTTTTCCTTTTTGTGCTCTTTGTCAAAGAGAAACCTTTAAAAAAATCTTTTCTCCAAAAGGATAAATTGTACTATCATATACAAGAGGGAGGGATTTTTTTTCTTGATTTTTGTGGTGTCAACACAACCATTTTGCAACCAGCATAAAAAGTATTCACTGTGTCACAAGATCGAGATGCATACAAATTGTTTCCTTGAGGTATTCCGATACTCAGCTTCTGAAAATTAGGAGTTGAGTAATTGAAAATATTCATAAAAATCCCCAGGAATTCTCAAGGTAGTGTAGTATTTACCAATTGTAATTCTTCTACTTTCATCATAACAGTTAATCATATGATGTAGTTAAAGTTATCAAATCTTGAACATTATTAGTATGAAAAAGCCAGTCAGCATTTGACTGATAAGTTGTATTTGCTGACAAGGTCATTGTATCGACCATAGAACTTACAAAATGATGACTTTAAACGAGACTGCTGATTTTATTGTTTCATAAACTTGTTTGTCAATAACTAGCCACGTTTTAGAAATATTTCATGTTTAGAACATGTTCTTGTTATCGAATCAAGTGAGAGATATGAACCCCGTATGCAGGTTATAAAGGTACGTTGCTACAAAAGTGAGGGAAGACACCTGTCAGATGTTTTGATTTAATAGCTCTTAATTTTATCGGGCTTACCTAGCCATTGTTTATTGCAGCCCGGAGGACAGGACTGCTCTATACATATATGTTTAAGTGTTGGTGTATGGTGATTGGGGTGGGAGAAGTTATTCAGAATTAAAGGTTTTCTAAACATTGAAAATATTGTTAATCAGAATGTTCTTTCCCTTTCTAAATTACGAGATACATAATATATTTACTTCTATAAAATGAATATGTAAAAATAAATATGTTTTACATGTTTAATATATAAAGTTGCTTATCATATACTATCGAAAAAACGACAGATCCCTTTTTTTAGAATATCGAATTTTACTTCTCGCATAAAAACGCACTCTGCATAGTTCCTGTTTTATATTCTAAAATTGAAAATTAATACATTTTTGAATATAGGTGATACATGTGTCTAACTTCAATTTATATTTTATGCAGCCAACATTTACATGAGGATTTGATCAAGTTTAAAATGGTATCGTTTTTGTTTGATTTTTATCCGACTGTAAGTTTTCAAGATACTCGCGACTATCGTCGCCATCAATTAGACGCATGCCGTTTCACACATACCAAAGCGGTTTGATGATCAAGACTCGTTTACATTGCTTACTTTATATATTTCCCGGGCGACAATTGATGGTGACATCAATGTTTACTTGTATGTTTTTGTTTTAATCATCGGGTGTTGGTGCTCTCGTGTAGTATACCGGGTATTGTAATCATGTTTAGGAGATAATTTCTTTGACATGACCATGATTAAATGAACTAGTGGAACCACTAGTTGGAGTAAACTAGATGTTCTGCAAACATCATTCTGCTCACCATTTCTTAAGGATGTAATAAGTTAAATCGAAAAATGTTCAAAACCCATAATTAATTGGTATACTTTAACTTGGTTTCTCCAGTTAAGTAGTTAATTGTTATTGTGGGTATTTATTGAAGAATATTTTTCAAACTCAACTGAACTGGAAACAAAAAAAAAAACAAAAAAAAAAAAACCAATCATAATCATTAATGTATAAAAATATTTTTTAAAAAAATGTCATCAGAATTATTAACATATTATGGGTATATACATGTACATATATTCTAATAGTAGAACAGCTGGACCTTTGTTTAAGGTCCGTAATATTTGTTCCCTTGCACATTTATCATCCTATATCATATTTGTTTACCATCCAACTATCATTTAGTTGTCTGGAAATCCACTTGATATTGCGCCTAAAAGCTGAACGGTTGTTATCCTCAAAGCTTGGATGGAGGCATCATATAAAATGTATTTAGCATGAATAACGGTAGAAATTTTAGTTGCTGATTTGCCATTAGAAAAATCTGTGAATTTCTCTTGATTAAAAAAGTAGATATATTTTAATCAAAGTCTTTCAAAAATACATCCCTCTGAAGATTATGATGTTGTTATGTCTTCTAAAAGAAGTTGAGATAATTTATGGTCAGTCACAGTGGTCCAGTTTTCAAAAAGTATTCAAAAATTGGTTTCTAAAAAATGCATTCTTGGATATTTTTTTAGGTCTATGTGATTGATGATCATTTATTTTCAAATTAACATTTCAAGATTTAATGTCGTACAGTATGGGTATGAGTAAGTGACTCGAATTACTGATAACTCCGATAAGAAAAAAAAAAAAACGACTCCTGATTACATGACTCAGATCGAGGATGTTCCGGAAGTGACGTAGGAGTAATGGGTGGGTACGGAACAGGTTGGAGCACCTGCAGTAAGAACGACATGAATACACTATTACAGTAAGTGACTCGAATTACTGATGACTCTGATAAGATAAAAAAAAAGACTCCTGATGGTGTAAATATCTATTTTTTCTTGATAATTTTTCTCAAGTTGAAGCGTCTTTTGTCCAGTTGGCTCCGCAAGTTCAGCTCTGATTATTTGTATTTAACTTTTAGAATTCATTTCTTTTCGAAAATGATAACTTTTTATATAAGTGAGCAGAGGGGTTTTGAACTCTTTAAAAATAGAAATAAAACCATCTGCACCTCTCGTTTTCTTAGGTCAGGAAGTAAATCCTGTTTATGGGAAGAAAATATTCCCGCCAAAGATATCCAAACGAACATAGCAGACGTCACTCTCAATCCCATCATTCCAGGTATTCCATCTGCCTCTTTCATGTGTGATTGACAACATTAATTAGAAATCAGTGGTCTGTATGGTTTTCTCTTTTTCAGGCCAGATGTATTCACCAGATCAGATCTGTGAGTTCAAGTACGGCAGTGGATTTCGTTTTAGGAAATATCCAAAGCTTGGTGTACGTTCATTATTTAAAATATGATGTATACCTTTGATTCCGTCTTTTTATGTTACTTTCTTCTTACTGTCAGTACATACTTGTTAACATTTTTATTCTGTAGGTTTGTCCTCAGTACATACTTGTTAACGTTTCTATTCTATAGGTTTGTCTCCAATATTCTTGTGCCAATCATAATTACCAGCAAAGTCGCTACGGACAGATGTTCAAAGAAACCACTTCTATTTATGGCATGTACTGTGATACAAATAAAGTAAGTGTAGATTTTCACAGTTTACAAAGGCTTTTAAACAACAGATTTGGTTGGATTGAGGCAGTATGAATAAATTTTTTGAAGATTTGCTTTAAAACGGACTGTGCTGACGCCTCAAGTGCCAAACTAAGCAGCCTGGTGAAGCGAGAGGGAGGGTGGAGTCAGTGGGGGGCATGGACAGGGTGTACCAGAACTTGTGGGCGAGGCATCAACTACAGGAAACGGAAGTGCGACAACCCAGCGTGAGTATAACAAATTGGTTTAGACGTCTTATGATGAACGAAGGATTTGCTCTGATATATATTTCTAATTCTTTTTTAGACCTATCAATTTTGAAGGCTGTCCAGGAGATGAATATGATGCTGAAGCTTGTAACAATGCGGTAATAGAAGTTATAAAATAAACTTTGCTATGTTGTCAGATCTTTTGTATCAACATTAAAGGGAAAATTTGAATATTCCTTTTTAACTTTTCTTATGTATCAAATTCTACTGCACGGCATTTCCAGCTAAAACTGACACTCTTTAGACTTGATAAAGTTTGCTGGAGTTGTCCGTGATACAAAATACCTCTTTTGGTGATATGAATAGCTTTCTGTGAACCCCTTTCCGCAGTAAAATTATCTCCGCTAGCCAATGGTTTCTGGTCCGCGTTTCTTCTCAAACAGGATTTGTAAGGAGAATGGCGGATCAGAGACTTTTGTATAAAGAAGATATAAAATCCATAAAGCATCAGTCTCTTTATAATCAGGCCTGTCCCAGTGACAGCTCTGACCAGACAGTTCTGAGGAACCAGCGTGCTGGAGAGACTTGTAAAAGACTGAGGGACAACAATGTCATCAAACCGGACCTGTACAACGAGACGGGGTCAAGATACTCTGATACAGGTAACTATCTGTGTGTTCTATGTAGTATTCTAAAATAGATTAATCTAAATCTAAAATGACTATACGTGACCACAAGCACAGTAAATGTTCCTTTTTAACCAATCACAGCTGATGGTCAGTGTGAGGTGACCTGTGACCCCGCCCCTGGTCACACGATCCCCACGTTTACCAGATTTGGATTTATGCCTGACGGAGTGACCTGTGTTGGGGGATCTAGTGCCTGGGATTTAAACAACTGGCCACGAAACTCAGGGTCCTACTACATGTGTCTGGATGGTTTGTGTCAGGTATAAAACATTAGATAATCCTTGTTTGAATGTAAATAAAGTACTAAGAAAATCAACAAACATAATGTCGTTTACAAACACAGCTCACTAGCTTTTTTTCAAGATTTTGTCCATGGACATTAAAAATGCTTCAATATCTAATACTTCTTACCAATTAAGCTTACAATATGAAAACATTATTAATTGTATAATGAGCTTAGCGAGTTTAAAGTGAAGCACATCTGGCTGATCTGCTATTTTTAAACAAGAAATCGAACACACGAATACAAGTAACTCGCTTATTGTAGCTGACACCTGTTCAGTTGCATCTTGATTATTCAGTTGAAAAGGTATCTTTCATGCTGGGACTTGATTTACTCGTCTTTTTGTTGAAGAGATTTGGTTGTGATGACCGCTTTAATGGAAAAGTTTTTGATGAATGTGGTAAATGTGGGGGAGATAACTCGACCTGCGCAGTAGTGTCCAAAATAGACACCCAGCTACAAAACAGCGGTGAGAGATTGTTCTGTATAAACGGAAGAAAATGATTTATTTAACTGAAGCTTTAATGGCAGATATGAAAACTTTGTTGTTTTGTAGGAGAGCGACGTACACTGGCATTTCTGCCCCAAAGCGCTTTCAATATCCAGTTTTGGTTTACATATGCAGATATGAAAAAGAACTTTTTAGGTTCAGTATTTTTGTAAATCAAACATTACTTTGTTATATCAGAAACAGTTTTTTTGTAATTTTATTCCCAATTATAAATATATTATCTGATGATTTTTACTTTGTTCACATTTCATAGAGGTGTATGACTCGGCCGGAAATGTGATTATCAGTGCCTGGACATATGACACTAGAACGGATCCAGTTCTGTTTGGGGGAACGGAGTGGTATTTTTACTTTTATGACCAGTTCCTCCACGCAAAAGGACCACTTAATGAGTCGTGTGAAATTAAGGTAGCTTTATCTGTGATGGTGTATCACGTGAAACATTCTAATCAATAAACTTGAATATATATTTTGATATTTTGATTTTTAATGTAATTTTGAAAAATAAATCAAACAGTGGAAAGAAGTTAAAATACTCGTCTTTTAGTAATGGAAACAAACCGTATTGTTTAGCTATTTCAGAATGCCGCCAATGACAATGTTGGTGTTAACTTTGTGTATTCGGAATCTAAACCAGGTAATTACAATGTATAGAAGAAATATATGTCATCCTTATCTTTTTATCATTTTGGATAAATTCTAAATATATGGAGGTTAACAAGCATAATATGACATCAAAATGGCAGTGTTGTCTAGACTAACATAATTATTACCTGTTATGCAGTGTCATTTGATTGTGATTTTGAAGTGGATACTTGTGGGTTAAGTTTGACTACTTTTACTCGTGATACATACACCACAACTGCAATATTGGATCCACCATCTGGAAAAGATTTTGGGGGCAAGTTTTTCTTTTCTTATAATAAATTTGATCAGCTGTTGTTGAAAACATCTATGGTCCATGAAAACACCTAACTGTCTGTGTTTCAATTTGTTACAGACCATTTCATTTATATGACCAGCCAAACAGCGGACAGAGAAGGAAAAGTTTTGACCAGCAATATTGCAGGAACGAGTCATACACAATGTTTTGCGTTCAGCTACTATACCAATGACGTAAACTCGAATATCACTATTTCTTGGGAAAAGAAAGGTGGTGATGCTATACGGGAGATTGTAAATCCACAAGTCAACAACTTCGTGTGTGAATCATTCACAGTATCCACCTTAGAAACAGATCGAGTGAGAGCAATATCAATATATGTTTATTAATTTTTTTTTTTGCGGAGATGGGGGTGTGGGTGTTAAATCTCTTTGCAATTAATTATTAATTTACGAAATTCCTTGAACTAAAAAGATGTACATACGACAAATTTGACGATGCTACCTTTAAATTATTTTATCATGTCTGAGAAGTGACGTTTGCCTTTATACAATATTGATCTTAAGAGTCAATGAATACAATATACATGAAGCAGAATTGAATAATTTAGTTACTTTATCTGGTTTAAGACTGATCATCTGTTATTTGTATACAAATCTTTTCTATTCAAAGTTAAACATTGCAACTTATTTATCGTAGATTTTAATAAAGGGAATGACCAAAGGGGCAAATAAAGGTGCCATTATTTTGGATAATATAAAGCTTTTCCCCAATTCTGGAGCATTTTGCAACTCTCAAGGTACGTGAACGTGATGTTTACACATATTCGAAAGCAGTTATAAATCGATTTTTTGAATAAAATGTCACTTTGACTTTCTGTAGATACATGTACAAAAGATGTGTTTCTCACGACCCTAAAACCAGTGGATACCACATCCGGTGCAGCTTCCACCACAGAGTCACCTGGGGGCACTTCCGGTAAATTCAAATAACTTCATAAATCATCTTTAGCATTATGGCATAATGAATTATATATAATTTTACGAACGAAAGAAAAAAAATGAGGAAATTACTTACTGAAAATTTATACTGATATATTTATTTTTCTCAGAAATAAAGATTGCTGGCCTATTTTCTTTGTCTTATGAGCAGATTTATATGACTCATTATCACACGAGTTCAGAAAATCATGTTTTCTCTTCTTTTACCTGAAAGTGAATAGTTTTAAGAGTTTGCATCTCTATTTAATGAAAGGATATACCATATATACGGCTTAAATATTTTTTTTTCTTCAATGAAGATACATTTTTTTAAAAACCATGATTTTCACATCTGTTGTAAAAAGATGAATATACAAAATGGTTACGCTGAAAAATAAATATTGAGATATATGGTATTTCTATTTCCCAACCAGTGAAATAATTTTTCAATTGATAGATTTATGTTGCATCTGAAACAAACATGCTTTTTAAATGCAAATCATATGGAGTAATTTTCAGTAAATAAAGAATACTTTAATTTGTGATGTGTGAATGGCAACAGTGATGCATGTAATACTGCGGAATCACTATTTTCTATGGGGGTTAATTTTCATTGTTTTCGAATGACGAAAATCATTCCCCACGAAAATATGTGATTTTACTATAATATAATTCTTTCAATTCTTTGTTAGGCAAACTAAGGACGATTTGGCTGATTGTTGGAGTCACTGTTGGGTGTCTGTTTGTGGTAATTCTGATCGTTGTTGTTATTGCATGCTGTTATTTCGGTTTTTGGTACGTAACTTTCTGTTTCTGTTTATTTAACCAACCTCTCCTATCTTAAAGTTTCTTTCAATTTTTTAAAATTAAATAACGATTATTTTCAGAATGTATTGTTTGCAGGATTTTAATTTCTTTCTTTTTTTTTACCAAAACTATCTATCTACAGGTATTTTCTTAATCACATATTTCAGTTACAGTGTACATTTATAGTAGCATAACGGTATTTTTTGTTTAAACCTTAATAAATGAGGGTAAATTTATATGATATAGGACAATCCACAGATGTTTTTTAATCTAATCTTTTTATCATTTAATTTTGCATGATTGTAATAAATCTTGCTATGCATGAAGTTTACAATCAAATTATTAATCTGCATTTTACACCATTTTGAACTTTCCATTTAAAGAAAAAATAAATTTGAGCATTTTATTTAATTGTCTTGTGGCATGAAGATGATTACGTACTTGTACGTTATGTCTCTCACTTTCTTACAATTTTAATGATTCTTTGATATATAGAAATAAATGTCTTTATATATAACATCTATCTTTAACCTTTAATGTCTTTTTTAAGGTATAAACAAAAAGGAACACCGGGAACAGGTTACAAGGTATCAGGACATTTTAATGGTTTCCCCAAACAACACAAGAATGGTCAGCTGACTGATGACAAAGACAACATAAAAGTTTATGTCGAGGCTCACCCTGATTATGACGTAGAAAATCATCCTGACTATGATTAATATTGAATTAAGTGAGAAAAATGATCTAGCAAATGTTTTCAGGGCATTATACTTGGTTGGTTTTTTTTTCATGTTTTAATATGTTTTCCTCGATTTATATTTGTAAAACTTGCTTGTACATGCATTCTTGTGAAAGTAATCAGCTTTAAATATTAATTTACGCGATTTATTTAATTTTTTACGTTTATAATGTTTATATTAATGTGCATGCCTCGCTTTGGCAACATGACAAATCTTGATATACTATGTCCATATATCAACATGTTTTTATCACATCAGATGAAGTTTAATTAGATGAAGGGTAGCTTATTTTCAAAAAATATTGAGCGCTACTTTTATAAACGATACAGACATAAATAGATAAAAAACATACAAGTACTCTTAATCCAAGAGAGCCTGTGAATTTCTTCATTTTTAGATTCAGTGAAACAGGTACTATAAACAGACCTCTAAGAGTTTAACATTTTGCTTTTAAAGAAGTATTTACAATGTTATATGAAATTGATCAAACTCACTACCATTTGTCCTTTCTGTAATTTAATATTTCACCTTATCAGTTAAAATCATTGACCAAGAATGTAAAAATAGGATCACTGTTTGACCAAAAAGCTTTAAATTGAATATAGTTTCACTTTCAATTTTAAAATTCAGAATGCAGAGTTTATTTTTTATAAACTTGAACAAAAATCAGTATTTTCATGTTGCATATTGTAAAGATGCGACAATTTTACGATGATATGAGGAAGCAAAAATCTATGGAAACAAAACAAACATATGGAACAGAGCAAACACACACCTCTAAAACATCAGAGGTGGGATCAGTTGCTATGAAAACTTCTTCCCTGTCGACCGAAAGTACACGCTTGTGCATGGTCTGTATATATTGTATAGATGGACCTCTGTTCACTATTGTTTCCTTTTTCATTTTTAATGGGTTTAATTTGTTGTCTTGAGAGACGTCACAATAGCCACGTTGTTTTTTTTACCCGTTGACTTTTGCAACTGTGATAAAGGCTTAACATTGTTAATAATCAATAACATACACAATTTACAAAAAGAAAATGTATACATCATTAATAGCAGTTTTATTTGAATTATGGAGCTTGTTGCCTGACGTCACGGCGTCAGGCAGTATAAGGATTGATATATCCAAGATCCGAAAATGTGCGGCCATATCTAAAGGGCTAGATTTTGTGCAAGCTGATTTACATTCGAATTCTTTACCTGCAGTTTAAAAGAAACAGTTTTCAGAAAAAAGAAACATATTACTGATGCGTAATACTGCAGTGTTTACTTCCTTTAATCTTTTTGCATGGAACAGATTATTCCATATGATTTGCCGTTTCAACATGTCCGTGTATCCTTTTTTCTACATTTCTATACTACTGGATCAGTCCATTTATATTCTACGAAAGGGGTGAATCGCTCTTTTCGCGCCAAATGTCACTAGTGAGCTATCTTCGCGCCTTTTCCTTGTTCTATTGTATGAATGGGTGTGCTAACTTCCATGGAATTAAATAAAGTTTGTCCTTTTAACTTCCTTTTAATGCTTCAGAAATTCTATCTACAAGTTTTATACCATTCTTTAAAACAACATATCGTATACATCAGTATACATGGTAAATGGACATGTAACACTAAAGAAATGATGTTTCTAATTTGTTTACCGATCCCGCGGTTGGTTTATTCCATAAATGGACGAGTCCAATAATAATAAACAACGCAGTTCAAGCCATCGTCTCCAGATGCATGATCTATTATATGTCTTTGTTCAGATGCACACAATAAATAAGAAAGTAGTGAATAATCTTGGGATATTCCTTTCTACAAAGCCTAACTATTGAATTTACTATTTCATTCTCAATATATCATGTATTATATGATAGTGTCATCCCCCACCCCTTTTAAGAAAAAAGTAATGAACTCACATTACTACCGTTTACTTCAGAGGAGAAAATACACTCCAACAAAATGTGTTTTTAATTATATCCATCTTTTAAAATGTTCACAATGCGTGATTTGATAACAGATTTTATAATAGGTGTTACAATGTAACTTGAAATCAATTTAGATCCAAAGGCAGATCACTCCACTTGCAGACCCCCCCCCCCCCCGCCCCCTTCGACTACAAAGTTCTTTAGTATGCAGTGTAGAGATGATATCTCTACAAGTTCAATAAAATCAAGATTTCAATTACATAAGGTTCTCAAAATATAAAGTTAGGATATTTTTTAAACCCACAAAGTATTGCTCAAAAGGGTTATCACTCTTTAGGAAGATAAATTGATTGATTTAGTCAGGCAAGCTTTTTAAAAAGCTGTTACTTGTTAATATTAGAATTCTCTTCCTTTGGTTGATAATTTATAGCAATTTCAGTTGTGAAAAGATACCTCGATAATATATGGTAAAAGTGCAAAAAGATAAAATAAAATTCAGCAAAGAAAGCGGCTTAAATCAGGGAAATATGTATATAATTTTATGTTTACCATTAATTGTAATTTCTCGATAAAACTAGCAAAAAAATTAGAAATGTACTTGAACCTACTTGGTTATTGATTAGTACAGTTAGATTTAATTGTGTAAAGTAATTCCTAGTTCTGATAGGTGTTTGTTGACGGGGAAGAGGGGGTGGGGGGGGGGACAGAATGATTGGAATGGGAAAAAAAGATTAAATCAGTGTAAATTGTTACTAATCAAAACAAAATACTTGTTTTCCGCAAAATAGTTTTATATTCAGATATTTGCCAGTTCTTCCTTACCTTTGTCTTAGTGCAGAAAGGTCAATATTTATGAAACAAGAATACGAAAATAAAAGAACTTCATATTTCTCGTTTATTTTATCATAAAGGTTCTTTGTTAAAATAAAGAGATAATTCATTTCTTTCAAGAAATATGAATTACAACATTTTCACACAAAGACTTTTTAAGATATTACCATTTATGCATGACGGAATTGTAAAAAATACGACAAGAAAAATACTTACATTGTGCTCCATTATATTTTTTCATGCAAGATGAAATGCAATGAATTTGCCTTTATTTTAATGATACAAGTCAAATAATTTAAATACCTGTTGATTTTAAATGTGATTTGACATTTTTGGTTCTTTTTCGCGCATATTTGGGGTAGAACAGTAATGTCTCAAAATAATTTATTTTTAGCATTTCACACTGTTTTTGCACGTGCTGCTGTGTAAAAATCAGCATATAAAGGTATTGTTTTTTATACTTAAAAATTAAGAGCAATTTGCTATGAAAGAAATAAAAGTTTTGAAAATTTCACACAAAGACTTTTCGGACACAGGTCCCCCCTTACGCTGTTGGTATTGATGAATGAAGAATATGGAGATAACAAGAAATGTTCAAGCTCAAAAGTCCATAAAACAATACAAATCAAGAGCAGAGCAAACTTGGACCTCTAAAACATAAGAGTGAGATCAGATGCCATGGAGGAATGAACATCCACTGCCGACCGGTAACACCCGCCATGTGTTCCTTGTCATGATTTGAAAAATCGTCGACAATTTAGTGTATAAAAACTTCAGTCAATATTTGTCTAATGATGCAGACAAAGTCGTTGTATCAAGCATAATGAACTTACGAAATGATGATGATAGCGAGACTGTTGAAATTCCTGTTTCATCAACTTGTGTGTCAATAACTTTTCTCGTTTTGGAAATATGTTGATTGATAAAATTAAATTTTTGTAGTTATTCTGTGAGCCTTAAAGTATGCGATAGAAAAAAAAAATTGTTGTGCTACCTATGAAAACGCCTTGGGAAAAATATCTGGAAAATTATGGAAATATCATTATTTTAAAAATCATTATAAATTATATTTTAATCACAGGCCAGTTTTTAAAGGTTAATATGCTTGTTTAAAAGTAATGATCAGTAATATGAAAATATAAGCTGGGTGTGTGTTGAGGACCCTTAACTTACAAGTGAAGTTGATGAAGTTAAAGTCTTCATGATTATCATGAAGCTTTGTTTTTAGATTATGATTACGTCTTTTTCTAGTAATTAAATTTCCCAAATATGAAACAGGTGTGTCAGACTCTGTATTATATGTGGTATTCTAAGAGTCACATCAGACACCTGACGGACTAATTTTCTTTCTGGATACATGTACAGTATATATATGTCAAAAGTTTAATTGATACTCTTTGTATCCATTAATTTAACCTAATTTTGACTGTTATTAATGATTTTGAAACTCCAAGTCCAATACTTTTTTCTAGTTATTTGTTTGAAATTTTATCTTAAAGACATTCAAAAGTACCAGACGTATAGTTTCAAAATCGTTTCTAACAGTCGAAATGGGGTTAAATTAATGGTTACAAAGAGTACAAACAAAAGGTTTGAGAAATTTGGAAAGAAATTCTTTTTTGTTTGGTGTCTGATGTAACGCTAAAAATAAAATGGATCACTGTTTACATAGCAATTTAAATGTTTACTCACCCGTTTCAGAAATATGACGGTTGTATGAAAATGAAATCAAATTGTGCATGGCAGGAGTTGTTTACATGCATTGAAATTTAATGTTTTCACCTTATTTGGGGATTTAATAGAATTGAATGGTTTGTGCACCAGTTGTATAAAAGACTAGGGATGTTTAGAGTGATCCCACTCATTCAGTAGTGAATGAGAAGTGAATGAGCAGCAGTGATGAAACTTGAAACCTTACAAAGTTTGCACTTTAAATACCTCTGTAGACTCTGTACGAATTCGTATTGGAAAAAAATCACCGTCGCCAGTCGCCCGATTGTTCTCTGAGCGTTCAATGGTTTGTAAAAATGATTGCAAGAATTTCCAGTTTTAGAAGAGATGCGATTCCTTTTAGATAAACGGAAGTATATGATGATAAATTCTGAAATGCTATGGCCGAGAATTGAGTTCGTGAGTAGAAGGGTATATTTTAACAAGACATAATTTATCTTCTGGTGATGAAATGGTATTCCTTCTTGTATCAAGGCATTTGCTTCTATTGATTTGGATAGAAAATGTAAGTATAACAGGACTTATTTAATACTTACCTGTTATAGTAGTTAAAAATCTATGTAAAACAATACGCTATCAAGTATATTGCATTTATGAATATGTTTACAAAATACCATTTAGTGTATATTCCCTTTTGTTATACATTAATTGAAGAGGTTAGCGAAAGGCGTTTTCTATTTATGAATAACCTCTGAATATATGGGGTAGGGAAAATATTAAAATTATGTCGCATAAATGACATATGCCAAGTGGCCCAGAACATCTTACAAAGGACATTAACATGGTAAAAATATTTAACATTTTTCGATCTTTAGTATTTTTCAATGCTGTATTGGAGTCTAAGCCATACAGGAATACGTTCTATTAATCCCTTCTACCTGGACGGTTAACACAGAACCTGTATCAGGGATCAATACTCTATAGAATCGTCGACGTTTCTGTGGAACTGAAAATGAGGAGATGTATTCAGGTCTTTTGAAATTCGAACAAATTCAACCATGTATTCAAATGTAGACTAAACCACGAAAATTACGTGGGAAAGAAAATTATATATCAGAGATGCATGCACATGTAATTTGTATCCATAAACTGTACATCATTAATAATTTTCATTGTATAAACGTCAATCGAGGGTTTTTTTTGTTGCAAATCTAAGATCATTTTTCTGTCTCGCCGCCTTATAGTTTACCGTAATTCCTTTTATTTGCTTATCTTATTACATTGCACCTGGTAATTGTAATGGCTTGTTTAATAAAGAAATCAATTTTTTTTTTTTTACAAATTAAATGACTAAAAATATTTTTTATACGCTGTAGCTTGCAGTATACAGTATGGTTGGATACATGTGAAATAACTTACCATGATGTTTTATAATTAATTTTGATCACAACTAATAAATATAAGGCTATGCTATATTGAGTGTTTTATCTTTCACAGTGTATATTGCTATTTTATCTAGTTGCACATTTTCTGTAAATGAAGTTTCTACAGATAATTATGCTGTTAGTGTGTTTCTCTTGTAAAACACCCAAATATGAAACATGCATGAGACTGAAATGTCTTTTGTCACTGAATCCATTGTAGGTCTTAACATCCAGTACCCTGAGTGACATTTTAATGTCAAAATTGAAGGATCGTGGACTCCTAGATCTGGAATACACAACGTTTCATAATGATTCTGACCTATTTCGGTAATAAAATATCACAGGTTCTTGTGATAAAATATCACCTAAAAGTACGAAAATATTTATTAAAACCACTGACATAAGTATACGTAATCTTGGTGCAAAAATTTATGGGTTAAAGCAATTCTTTTTTAATAAAAGGGAAAGAGATAAAAGAGATGCAGAGGCAACGCACTCTAAGGAACCGGTTCATGTGGCCTTCACGTATGCTTCAGAGAAGTATAACCTAGAATTGAGCAAATCACAGCCAATTTTGCACCCGTCCGCCGAGATTCTTACCTGGAGGGACGAATCAGCTCTACGGTGGACAGATCCTCACCCAGACTGCTTTCTCACCGGAAGTGTGACGTCACATCAGGGTATAGCCACCATGTCTATCTGTGATAATGTGGTGAGTACATTACTTTGCTTATTATTAAAAGTGGGTGTTTTATAGTGAAGGGACATAGTTTTTTCAAATGAATATGAAATTCATTCTGATGTGTTTTCAATAAAATTGTATTCCAGGTTGGAATTGTTCGAACTGAAAGACTTACACTGTATCTAGAAATTTTACCAGAGTCCACTGCTAACGTTATCAAAGCTATTGTTGGACGTCAGGCAGATGACGTAACTCCTATTTCCTATGAGTCTCTGGCAGGTATGACTGGAACATTTATTAAACTATGATAAAGTTTGGCAGTCCATCAGGTTGACTTTAAAGTATTTATCTAATGAATCAAAAAGACTTTCATAGTGTAACCTGTTGAGGGGTCGTACCTGGTTGATTCCAGGATCTCGGTAAAAATTGATATTTACAATAAATAATTTTCCCCATAAAAATAATTTGATAAAATAATTGGCCTGCAAATATATACAAATATGGCCTTTCCCTTACTTAGGGGGAAATTACACTTGAATGTCGGCCTTATATTTACAAAAAGAAATGAGGTTCACAATTGCACCGGTCAGACACCAGTTATGCCTTATTCAGGCTCGTAGTGTCTGTCACGATGTTAAGTCCTAACCTACTACTAGTGGTCAGCCTCTGACAACAGAGGATACTGAATTGTCCTTATTCAGGGCGTACAGTCATCCAATGCTATCAGAGACTTACACTAAAAAGGTTACTAGGCAAACCTTTGAAGGTTGACTTCCCTCTATGGTCGGCCTCTAAATGGTTAGTCACACACCAATACTAAAATTTATTGTGGCAAGCCTTCGCTGATAGGTAATCCACCTAGTATTGTGAAATAATTGTGGTAAGCCTCAGTAGCACTAGGCCACCAATCCAACTAACCACATCGCCGAAACATGCCTCTTCTCCCGTCAGGCAATTGGACTAAAAGGAACACCACAGCTCAGTGCGCTTGCTTATATAGTGTTGTTTACGATCATGTGATTTGTTTCAGCCAATCACAGATCTTCCGAGGCCGATTTGCATAATTGGAATACACAAACCCATTTACTGTTACATTACCCACGCCTTCGATGACATGCAACCCGCACGTAAACTAAGGAAACTAATACCAAAGATTTTCCCCCCTTTTTTTCAAGCTATACTTTTCTGTGACAACATAACCCCTTTGTGTCAACAGTATCTTCCTTAAAACAGTACATAAAAAAACTTTGATTTTTTAAGCAGAATTATTTGTAAACATAATAATCATGAAGCCAAGTAGGTACGTAATTTTGAAACTCTTTTTGGACGACCATTGCTAGGTTTTTCGTCTTTGAGAACTTTTATCTCTCTCTGTAGGTCTATCACAGCTCTAGTCAAAATGGCAATCGGATCTGACTTCTCAGGTCTTTTTTGTGTAGCCTTCGTGTACGTTGGACTTTCATGCATACGTTAGTCAGCAGCAATGAATGCGTCCAATTTTACGGCATGCTTTACAGCGTCGTTTAAATCTACTGACCAAGCTTGCTTAACTCTTAACCGCATGTCTAAATCCCGTAAGGCATCTATAAATTGTTCTTTAGCAAGCGTTTCCTTCACTTCAACTGGCGCGGTATGGTAAGCTAAATTTGTTAGCCTTCTTATATCTTTTCCCATTCCGGCAATGTTTCTGAAGGTTTCTGTCGCCGCTCACGCAGCTGAGCTCTATACAGCTCCGTCTGATTCGTTATGGAGAACCTCTCCTCCAATGCTCTACATAGTAACCTATACTTGCACTTCTCTCCTAGTCTTTCAGGTAAATAGCCGCGGACACCTTTTGCCTGACCTCTTAGAGATACTGCGAGGTGCATACCCATTTCTGCTCTTGTCCACTTATTAAGGGCAGCACAAAATTCAAAATGCGACTTGAAGTCCAGCCACAATGAACCTGTACTGACCGCTTCTATGTTATTTGTCTTTTGGCGTCTTCTTGTAACATTGTCTGCAAGTATATCATTGAGTACTGGCCGGAGTATCAATGAATGGCGTGCTGGATACTTGCTTTGGCTCGTGGCCTGTCAGTCTATCTTCCTTGAGTGCAAAACTATGCTCGTCATCTTCAAGGAAACTGGTAGTCTTCCTTATGTGTTTAGGTGTTGCACCAGTCCCTTGGTATGACCTATCACCTAATGTGGTACGCTTGCTTTCAGGTATGCCTGAATCATTGGCGTTTGCCTTCTTAACTGTTTCTGACAAGCAGTCTTGTAAGCTCTTTAATTCCTTCTAAACAGCAGCCATCATATTTTACAAAAACAACCCAGCAATAAAGGTATTACAAATATTACAAATTAAAGAAAATCAACCAAAAATCAGAATGTTGAACCGAGATCCCACCAAAGTTTGTAACGTGTTGAGGGGTCGTACCTGGTTGATTCCAGAATCTCGGTAAAAATTGATATTTACAATAAATAATTTTCCCCATAAAAATAATTTGATAAAATAATTGGCCTGCAAATATATACAAATATGGCCCTTCCCTTACTTAGGGGAAAATTACATTGGGGGGTCGGCCTTATGTTTACAAAAAGAAATGAGGTTCACAATTGCACCGGTCAGACACCAGTTATGCCTTATTCAGGCTCGTAGTGTCTGTCACGATGTTAAGTCCTAACCTACTACTAGTGGTCAGCCTCTGACAACAGAGGATACTGAATTGTTTTTATTCAGGACGTAAAAAGGTTACCAGGCAAACCTTTGAAGGTTGACTTTCCTCTATGGTCGGCCTCTAAATGGTTAGTCACACACCAATACTACTAATTTATTGTGGCAAACCTTCGCTGATAGGCAATCCACCTAGTATTGTCAAATAATTGTGGTAAGCCTCAGTAGCACTAGGTCACCCACCCAACTAACCACATCGCCGAAACATGCCTCTTCTCCCGTCTGGGAGTTGGACTAAAACGAACACCACAGCTCAGTGTGCTTGCTTATATAGTGTTGTTTACGGTCATGTGATTTGTTTCAACCAATCAAAGATCCTCAAAGGCCGATTTGCATAATTGGAATACAAAAACCCATTTACTGTTACAATAGATTGAAATGTAAAAGGTGAAAATAACAAACAGTGGACGTTTTCATTTCATTTGTCTTTTATTTCGTTTTCTTGTGGACAAACAGAGTATATGTAACTATTGTTAATAGACGAAACTTCGACGATATACTATAGTATATATCTAATTGTTAATTGAAGGCCACAACAAATGTTTTCTTCTTTTCATGAAAAAGTTTTTGAATAAAATCTGCTTGTTCTAATATTTCGGAAAGCAGTTGACTATAATGTCAAAAAGCCTTCTCTTTAATTATCGAAAAGAATGGTTGCATAAAGTCATGTGATTTAATGCTGTTAATGTTTTAAACTTTAATTTTTTTATTTTTATAAAAGTGAACATTGTTCCTATGTCTAAATTCTTTTCTCACTTCAAATAAACAATTGTAGGAAATCTTATTAAACTTAATGATAGAAGCAGACGTTCGGTGCCGTCACAGAACATAACGATAGAGCTGGCGGTTTACACGGATGCTGCCTTCACGAAAACCATGCTGGTCACAGATTTCTCTCAAAGACTTCAACACATTTTACTCAAGTATTACGCTGTATGTATTACATGTTTATATGTTTCTATTATTAATATGCAATTTCATATCACATTATATATTTCATACTTAGATGTGGTAGGATTTTGAATAAGTTACGTTATGAATAAGGGATTTCCTATGTTAGGGTGAAAGCATAGTCACACAAAAGTTAGACTAATATGCAAAATCTTTGATTATAGGTTCAGATGGAATGGTCAAGGAGTGACAGTTTGGGATTTAACGTTCGACTGTTGTTGAAAAAAGTTCATTTCTTCGAAACAAACCCGGTATGGTTCTTGATCCTTGATTTCTGTTCATTCTAAAAGATTTTAATTTTTATTTTCAACCATATTAGTTTAATGAACTTAAATAAGTATTTTTGGCATTGTATTTCTCTGTAGAAGAAGTAAAGGAAATAATGTAAGGATAGGGCTCAATTTCACAAGGTGTCAATACATTTAATATAAAGATTGCATGATTTTGATATCAGTGAGGACTTCGAAATCTCATAAATTAATTTTAAGACATGGTATAATTCTTCCGCAACTCGACTTGGTGATGTTCTTTCCGGCTTCTGCTTGGGAACATTAAATGGTGGCTTGTACGACATTCGTTATATGCATGTAGGGTAAGATTATCTGCTTAGACTTAATAAACCATATATATTCTGGAAGAATTACATTTATTTCAAATGAAAGAGAACCAAAAATGAAGGAAGGTGATTTCTTCTGACTATTTTAACAGTTTGTCAGGTTTAGATATTTTGACAGTTTGTCAGATTTGGATGTCACTGGCCGAGCTTACCAGAACTCTGTATGTAACCAGAGGTACAGCTGTGGTGTGGATACGTCAACAGGGGCCGCCAGCTTCGCGGCTACCGCTCACGAGATCGGACACTTGTAATTATGTCATAAATATCATAATATCAAATATATAAACAATTTGAAATTATTCTCTTCTGAAATGTAAAATCTGAATAGGAAGAGTCTTTTCTTTTCTTTTTAGATTGTTTTATTCGTGTTTTAAATTGATTTGATACAGAATGGGAATGTACCACGATGCTGATCGCGGATGCAGCGGAAATGACGTAGGGTTAATGGGAGGATATGGCACTGGTTGGAGCAGCTGCAGTAAATTTGACATGGCCAGACTGTTAAAGTACGTTAACAACCAAATGAAACTCCTCATTCTTTAATCCATGTGCAGTGTATGATTCTCTTTCTGAGCTTTGAGAACAAAGTCTGAAGAACTATTTATTTAACATGAATTAATTCTAGAAATCACCTTCAGTTTAATTTATATTTTATCATTTCTTTTTCAAGTTCAGTTAATAAAGATTGTTTATGGGAAGAAAATATTCCGCCAGAGGAAGTCCCACAGAATATAGTAAATCAAAGTCTGGTTCCAGCCATACCAGGTAGCTCGGTCACTGTCTTTCAAAACATTTTAAGACCAGACTTGGATTCCTAATTGCTCCACAAAATCATATTTTGGATTACTTTTAGTCACAACAACTTAATATTTATGGAATTATTTTCACTTTTTTAATCCAATATTTTTTTTTAATAGGACAGAGGTATTCCCCTGATCAAGTCTGTGAACTTAAGTACGGTGCTGGTCATCGTTTTCGTAGATTTCCAAAACTTGGGGTATGAGCTAAATTCGATATTATTTTAGAATTTTCCATTCATTGATTTCTTTTACCTTGGTAAACTGTAATTTTGATTACCTTTTCTTAAATGTAGGTCTGTCTCATGTTCAGCTGTGCCAATCACAACCGCCTCCAAGTCAATTATGGTCAAATGTTCAAAGAAACTACCTCTATATTTGGAATGTATTGTGAGGAAAATAAGGTACCATCAAGCCATTTAAAAAGAATAGATTGATTAAAGTGATATATTTTTATATCAAGATATGTTAATATTTCATTAATGTATTTGAAGAAAAACTTAATATTATAGATTTGCCATAGGACGGACTGTGCTGACGCCTCAAGTGCCAAACTGAGCAGCCTGGTGAAGCGTGAGGGAGCGTGGAGTCAGTGGGGGTCATGGACAGGGTGTACCAGAACTTGTGGGCGGGGCATCAACTACAGAATAAGGAAGTGCAACAACCCAGCGTGAGTATCTAAGATACAGGTTTTTACAAGTTTATTCTGAATCCTACATAAAATTGAATAATTTAGTCTTAGCTTCTGTATATATGTATGTACCTGTAACCTGAGTCGCACCTCTTTAATCAGGACGCTTGTTTTGTCAACCATATCGTCCAGATTAATGAAGCGTCTGGATAACTGAAACATACTTGGTATAGAAAAACAATGATATTTTCCTTCAAAGTTAGTTGGTCCGGAAAATGAAGGGTTTCAAATAACTAGGATCTACTGTACAAAATTGGATTGAAGAATTCATTTGAAACACTATTTTTTGCAGTCCGATAAACTTTGACGGTTGCGATGGAGATGCGTACGAAGCAGTTACATGTAGCACAAAGGTAACAAAAGAAAATAAGTTCTTTCAAAATTTGAATGGGATGAAATTGTGCAAGACAGTTTTTGTTCCGCCAGAAGAATATTTGAAGTGACCTTCAATTGAAATTGACAATACTGACTTGATAAACTAGTCTGATTTAAGGGAAGTCTTCTATGTATGATTTTAGCCCTGTCCCAGTGACAGCTCTGACCAGACAGTTCTGTGGAACCAGCGTGCTGGGGAAACCTGCAAAAGACTGAGGGACAACAATGTCATAAAACCGGACCTGTACAACGAAACAGGGTCAAGGTACTCCAATACAGGTAACTATCCCTGTGTATGTATTCCTAATTCTTTATTCTATGTGGTATTCTAAAATAGATTAATCTAAATCTAAAATGACTATACGTAACTACAAGCACAGTAAATGTTCCTTTTTAACCAATCACAGCTGATGGTCAGTGTGAGGTGACCTGTGACCCCGCCCCTGGTCACACGATCCCCACGTTTACAAGATTCGGGTTTATGCCTGACGGAGTGACCTGTGTTGGGGGATCTAGTACCTGGGATTTAAACAACTGGCCACGAAACTCAGGATCCTACTACATGTGTCTGGATGGTTTGTGTCAGGTAGATGAAATCTACATTATATATAAGTTGTTTAGGAGTCATAATTACTTTTTACATTTTATACTTTATCGAAAAGCAATTTTTTCCGAAACTTATTGTGAGGTCAATATTGTACATGTATCTTTTTTCTATGATTCTTTCACTCAAATCTGCAAAATTGTTTGAATTTTCCTGCCTCTCTCAAATAACGATATAAAATGATACGCTAATCATTTAGAATAATTTTTTGAAATCATTTTTGCTCGTAGAAATTAGCCACGATTAGCACTGCAATATCATTTGAAAAAAAATCTTTTTAAAAGAAAAATATGGCTGAAAAAATAATATATGTATCCCAAAACAGACAAAATAAAAAAAAAACAAATTTAATGCTCTAAATTTCCGGTATGCAAGTAACAATATATAATACAGTCAATACTCCCTGTATTTATCAGAGGTTTGGTTGTGATGATTGGTTCAATGGAAAGGTTCTGGATGAATGTGGTGTATGTGGTGGAGACAACTCTACATGTGCAGTTACCTCAGGAATTGACATTAAACAACAAGGTCAAGGTAAAGTACCATACAGTTTCAAACATTTTGTGGAATTCTGAAATTATTTTAGAGATTTCAAATACTTTTTCTGTGCTGTTTTATCAGGTGAACGTCGAACTCTGGCCCTTTTACCTGTAGGAACCTACAACATTCAATTCTGGTTCTCATATCTAGATATGAAGCAAAACTTTTTAGGTGAGTATCCATTCAAACATCTATTTTGTATGATGAATTCGATTTGCATATACTCTACAACATACACGTGTGTTCCAGAGTTATATAACACAAATGGAGACGTCATTCTTGCCAGCAGAATATCCAGTTCCTGGAAGTGGGACACAAGAACTGAGCCTGTTGTCTTCGCTAACACGAAGTGGTATTACTACTTCTATGCTCAGTTTCTTTATGCCAAAGGACCACTGACTGAGTCCTGTGAAATAAAGGTACGCATGACATATATACCAAAATAATAAAATTTTCTTTAAATAATATCGACTTATTTAAACTTTATATACTCGTACATTCGAGCTTCAGTTTTCTAGACAATACTAATCACGATTCTTCATTTTCCAGAAGAAATTTTGGCAAAGAGCATTTACTCAATATCTATTATATCTAGTAATTATTTACATTCAGCCTCAGTATTCTGGATGCTTTTTTCTTTGAAATACCAACGTCTTGCTTGTATTTTTAATTTTTAGTGGGTCTAAAATATGATTAAATTAGAAATTGTTCTCATTATTTCAGTTGTATCAACATGGTGAATTTAACAATACTGGTATTTTTTACGCTTATTCGGAACCCCTAATAGGTGAATATATCAACATTAACATTTTCTATATATTAGTATGTCAGAAATACATGGATTTGAATTTACAGCAAAAATATAAAATGTATAAACCTTTTGGGAATCTTTAATTTCCTATAGACTTGTCTATAAAATTCCCTAGACTTGTTACTATTAAAAAAAGACAGTATTTCCCTTGTATTTTTTTCAAAACCAATAAAAATCATTTCAATTTCTCTTTATATATACAAGTTCATAAGTGATTTTACTGTATCACCAGATTCTAGTACCACAACACCGTATGTAACCACCGACTCGTCAACAGATTTACACGTGTCTACACTGGAAACATCCACAAGCGAACCTCTAACAACTGACATTACAGGTTCAAAGATTTTCCCTATATATTGCTTCAGCTGTCTATGAAAGACTGCAATGATTTTTTGTCTTGGCTGTAGAGGAGAAAAGTCATATTGGAGTATTAAAATTTACTGAGTTTTGATAAGGAATTATTTGTTAATCAGATTCAAGTAGCGGAGACAGATCTACAGCCACGTCCGCGGTGACTTCTGTTGCATTGGAAACAACCGAGGGAACAACAGGTAATAATTATAGGGGAAAATGTTTAAATCCCATCAATTTAATATAATCAGACTCATGAAAAAATAAATTAAATATTTAAAATAAATATTTTAAATAAATGAATTTTTTTTTAAAATTTAGGCTTTAGTAGAACATTTACATCCAAGACAACATTCACCCCATCTTTAGAGACTTCAACTCAAGGAGCTACGACTTTACACTCAACAGAAAGTGAAACAGGTCTACTATAATATAATAATATAATAATATAGTAAAATAGTTTCTTGACTTGCAGATGAGAGGGACGTATAAAAAGCGCCAATTTTTCAAAACATTGTTTACCAAACTTACAATGCGATTGGATTGCAGAGCTAAAACTAAATTTTATTCTAAAAATTGAATACACATCAATTATATTGTAAAGAAATGAAAATATTAAATTGCATTACTATATCCAAAATTTTTAATTTTCTTTCAAAAGACCCAAAGGAAAAATATTGGTATAAATTACTTTTCTGCATGCTATGAATAATCTATTTCCAAATTAAATTTCAGTAACTTTTTTTCATATTTTATTTATGTATGTTTTCCATAGTTTCGAGCATTACAAAACATATTGTCACAACAGATTCATCAAAAAATGTGACGTTATCAGTCACATCCTCCTCCACAGACATAACTTCAGACATCACAGGTGACAGAAGTATAAGTATTTAAACTATTATGATCGAAAGAATATCACTATACATTGGAATGACACTTTTTAAACTTATTGCAATGTTAGTTTGTTTTATTTTGGTATTGATAGTGAGGATATATCTACTACATCACAGAGAAACAAACATAAAAGTAATTTTTAAATAAACAGGTTATATTGATTCTCTCATTAACAAAACAGGAGTTAGGGTAATGATTGATGGTTTTACTTAGGTTCCAGTAGTTCATATATATCTACAGGAATACCATCAACAGTTACCTCGACGGTCACAACGGAGATTAAAACAGGTATGTAACGAAATGCCAATCTATTCTATAGGCCTTGTAAACCAAGTGATATCGCCAAGTATTTTATTTCATATTAAGAAAGAAATATGAAACTGTTTTCATGTAAACCTTTTTATTCAGATTCAAGTAGCTTGTCTTCAGTTGCTTTCACCACATCAGTAGAGACTTCGTCTGTGGGTACTACAACCTTAGGGACGACCACGGGTAAAGCAGAGTTTAAATCATTAATGAAATACCTATTCAAACGAATTCAGGATTTGAAATTTAAGGTCAAGATCTAGTAAGTGAAAGATGCCTACAGATTTATCAAATTTGAGAGATAAATTCCTTTAATGATGCGTTACAATTTTAGTTTGGTCAAATAAGGTGTTTCGGGGCATAATTTGTTGGTAAACAAGATGAAAAGCCATATTTTAAACTGTCATTTTCAATGAAAAATTAAGAAAACCAGTCATGAATATGGGACTCTTTTCATATTCGACAATTGAAATGTATCCAGATTGCATACATTTTTTTTTTTAGAAAACGGTAATTTGTATGTTCATGGCCTTTTCTTGAAAAAAATATCAAATTTAATATAGGTATCGGGATTACTTTTCATATGATTTCAAATTGAATGCCATGAAAATACCCTATTTTCTGCATAATTTTGCTAAAGCCGTAAAGAACGGGAAAAAGAAAGTTGAAATTGATTATGATGTCATAATGGATCTAGCATCAAAATTAGTCAAAAGTCATTTACTAGATCTTGACCTTACAAAAAGAATTGTCAACGATGAAAAAAGAATTACTTATAAGCAAATAAGCGAGAAAATGACGATTATGAGACCTCATGTCTCTGTGTACCACTATTAGTCACAAGGGTGCGCAAAAGAAACAACTCTCAGAACTTTCAAAGGTAAAAATTCCATATCAGATTCCATTGGAGAGAAAGCATTCAAAGAGACTTATAAGACCTACCTGGGCTACTTCACTTTGAAAATAGATACTCAACATTCGACCTAATGACGAGTTGTTTTGCAGACATGGTCATTATTTCAACCATACATTTTGCAATATACTGATTTAAAACCAGTTTTTTCATTCTCTTGTTTCATCAACTTATTTATTAGAAGACTGGTCTTTTTAAGAAATTATTCGTAAGTGAAACATGCTTTAAGTTAAGAAACATCAAGGTGAATCTGAAATTTTAAAACCAAAAAAAAATGATTAAAGTCGATGTAAAGCTTTAAATTTCTAAATTATTGTACGAGTACATGTACTTGTAAACATTAAATATAATTTCATCAAAGTAATGTGTGATTCCTTTTTTTCATTTATTCCTAAATTTTTATTTTTTTTGAGAGAATTACTTGTTCAATGATTTTGTCTACAGATGATCTCAGCGATTTGAGAATTATCGGAATTATCATCGGAAGTGTTTCCATAGTGTGCGTTGCATTGATTGCTATAGCAATAGGCTGCCATCGCAATGGTTCCTGGTGTGTATTTAATAAATTTATATTTAAAAAAAAAATGAATAAACAGTCCGCTCATGTATCTCATTACAATAACAATTATTCATCCTTTCACAAATTTAACTGTTTTAAAAGTAGTTTGATTGATGAGCGGATCAAAGTTTGTTGTTAACTTTTTAGGTGGAGGAAATACAAAATTTACATGATAAATTATATTTTGCATTTTTCTCCGACTGGTAAATTCAAATTTTACATGATAAGATATCAAAAGCATGTAATTTTTAGACTGAACATACTAATGAATTATTCTGATTTGTTTGCAGACCTAAAAAAAGAAAAGTCAATCATCTCATTTCTTCACAGAAATTGAATACCGTAAATCTGGAAATTTTTCGTCGATTTTATTTTGCGAATCTGGGTCAAAATGCTGTTAATTAATTTTTACGTTTCAAAATTTTGCGAATGACCACTACTTTGTTTACTTTTTCTTGTTGTTGAATTATTTTTAAGAAAAATATTTTTGTGAATGCAATGAACTCGTAAATTTGCTAAAAAAAAATTATCTACAGCAAAAAATTCCAGATTTACGGTAGTGTAGATATTTTCATTTCGCTGCATCATGTTAATGCATATTAAATTTTATTTTGCGATTTGCAATCCAATAAAAGTATCCTTAAAAAGATTTAATTAAAAAAAAAAGAATTTACCGTTGATGAATAAAATCTTTGATAAGATATTCTTTTTCCTCTCTGTAGGTTTAAACCAGATGGGAAGCGCCGGGAAATATACAGAGTATCTGGGAATTTTGACGGATCATCCAAACCCCTCAGTCGGGATTCTTACCGAGATTACACTGACGTTTAGTTGTACTTAGAACAATTCTTATTCATAATTAATTATAATCCTTTTGATAATATGTTTACAAGAAGTTTTACAATTATTCTATTTGTTTTTTATATGCATTTTTCATATGTTACTTTTTTATTCAATGATTTGTTGCTCAACATGTAATTAAACAAATGGTTTGTTTTATTTAGAGATTTTTTTAAATAAAAGAAATATACAAACTATTTATATTTTCAAGACAAGGAAACGTATGTTTTCAGTTTCTCGCCTTCTCTCTAAATTGTCCTCGTACTTTTATTTTACTTGGAAAATAATATTGTGAGACAGAAACAACAAATAAATAGAAAGGTACATGTATTATTATTTTACAATTTAACCACATGCACCTGCCTTACCACTTTACATATTGATTTTATAAGCATGATTTTATTTTAATGTCAAACATCTTTTCAATGTCATTTCTCACTTTAAGAATGTTCATCTGAAAGAGATTTGTCGATAGATTTTAAACGAATCATCATGCAAAGTCTTTTTACGTGAAGTTCTTATATTCATTAGCTTGTTTGATTGTGTTGAGAGACATTTGAATACATAGGCACAGACGTAGGAATTTAAATCATAGCAGTCCTTAGTTGCCCGTCGGTTCAATGATTTCCAAATAATTCAGACCTCTGAGAAGAATGTTTTAAATTCAGAACTGGGATTTACTTCCTCGATGAAGTGAAACTCTGCCATGAAAACTGACCGTCGTTCCCAACTGTTGTACATTCTTTCTCTTGTTCTGTCGACGAAAGGTAAGGGGAAGTTAAATTTTGTGAGTTTTAACACTTCAAAGTACTCAAACTATAATATGTAATTTGAATTCCAGCAAAAATAGGTTGGTTTTACCGCAATGGTATTACCTTTAACAATTTATTACTCGTCACTTTTTGTCATTCTCGATAGCAAATGGTTTCTTATAAGCTACTCTCTTCACAAACCCATGGTCTCTAAATGGTGCTCTCAAAAGTCGGTAGATTTTTCTCAAATATGATTGGAATTTATTGATAACGTACGACCATCTAGAAATTGCTTATCCTCTTAAGATGGTGTGCTCATCAGGATTGTATATATAGATTTGCACAAAAATAAAAATAAATGTTGCTCTATATCTGTTTGTTAATTTGTCTTTAAATACAATTGTTATTAATTGTGCTTATAATTTATGTCTTGCTGACGCAATATTTGTTTGGGTAATATTTGAGATGTGACGTAAACAATCCCGACTTTTGAAAGCACTATTGGAAGAGGGTGCCAGACCAGAAACCTGTGACTATAGTAGAGATGCTCTATGTGGACAGATTATCATTTTACACTAGAGGTTAATCCGTCTTTTTAGGAAATATCTTCACAAGCTGTGATTTTGAGGACGGGTTTTGTGGTTGGACAAATAAGAACTGGAACAGATCAGAGTACAGTTCTCTATTAAAATCATCAGGACCGGAGAGAGCCCACACAGGGAGTATGCCAACTTTTGCATATATTATTTATCTGTATGCTTTAACAGAATAAAATGTGGTCTTTAACCTTAGTAAATTATAAGCAAAAGAAAAACATTAAAAGAGCTGATTTTTAAAATTTTATTTACACCAGGATATTATATTTATTCGTTCGGAAAGGAGATCGGATATAATGCCACAGCCACACTGGAGATTGGTAACATTACAGGAGCAAAAACGTACTGTCTGTTGTTTAATTATCACATGAAGGGTGCACATATTGAGAAACTGGAGGTGAAATGGAAAGATTCTTTAGGAGTAATCTGGAAAGTTGAGAAAGAACAAGGACAAAAGTGGAACTGTGCCGCAGTTAATGTAACCTCAAAAGAAAAAGGCAGCGTAAGATTTAATTGCTTATCAATTACATTAAAATAAAATATATTATAATCAGAACATGTGAAATAGTGTACTTGTGTTTTGAAATAGGGATAAAAATTATATATTTTTTTGTCCTCCTCTTTTCTTTTGTGTATATCAATTGGAACTTTTTTTTTCTCAGAATGTATTAAATTGAGACACTTTTGAAATAAGTGAATGAGTAACCATTAAACAGTATCTTTTAATTTTATTACTGTTTTGACATTATTTGAAAAAATGGCCTTTGTTTGAGGAAGCATTTCTGGTCCACAAATTTTGAATACTGACACTCAGTGTGATAACATTATTGTAGATCCTATTTCTCGGTACAACAGGTAGAACAGACAGTTCTCTGGCGGACATCATAGGACTGGATAATATTAAACTCGTCTTCCCGACAGGAAACTTCTGCAACCAGCAAGGTAGATAAGACCTTTTTTAACATTAAAAATAAGTTAACAAAATCTTCACAATTGCATTTGTTCAATTTAATTTCTCCTCAACATAAGCCTAAAACAGTCATATTACAACTAGATTAGTATTTATAATTACAGATCTATACTAAGAAACTGAAAAGAAGTTTAATTTTCGTCTAGAATTTCTTCAATATTGCCACATAAAGATTCTTACCTTTAAATGTAAAGCCTCTTCATTTATAATACAAATAGGTTGTGATTCACCTTTTACTCCCGGGCCAACGTCACCCCCTTCATCATCAACGTCATCCCAATCAACTACGTCATCAAAATCTGAAACATCGACGGTCAAGGGCGCCTCGTGGTTTGAGGGTAAAGTAAATGAGATCAAAATACGGATTTGGAAACTTCTTAATGCTTTGTCATTTAGATAAGTATTGTAGATAACGAACAATATTCAATCTGAAAAAAATTATTGAAACAATACATATTTGAAGCAGAACAATGACCGCTAAAAACATCCGAGCTTTGGTCAGATAACATGGAAGAGTAGGCATCCCATGTCGAATGGTCACATCCGCCATTTGTTCTTTGTCATGATACGGAAAACAAAAGAATCAAATATTGTGAAAATGATGGTTACAGTTTCATTTGTGTGCAAGATATCAGTCAACATTTGCCTTCATAATATAGCGTAGTTCTGTTGTTTGATACCATTAAGGTATTTTTCTAGTAATCTATTCAAATATCTAGAAATGAAATAGAATTGTGAACTCAGAGGTATCTTTTATTTTGAGTTCAAAGAATATCAAAATAGCGTAGAAAATGAAGGCTGTCAATGAATAAAGCGTCGTCGATATATATTTATTAAGAACTTTATTCGATAATAACCAATATTTGCCCCCCAAAATCAAACTTGAACGGAGAAATCATATTTAATTATGTTTTTAAACATGGGAATGTATGTTGACTTCAAAACACTGAATATTTTCATTAGCAATGACTTCACGTTTGAAATGACGTCACGAAAATGACGTAAATTTAAAATTTCCATGATTTGTACAGAAAAATGTATATTTTACGTCGATATTTTGAGTAAACTCACCGAGCGCAGATCTGATCAGGCTCAATATTTTGATATTATGTGTAGAATGATAATATCAATGAAATATGTAAAAATTCCTGAGCAAACTTGCGCTCTATAAATTTTAATTCTAAAATTGTTGAAATTTTGTCCATTTTGTCTTCTTTCTAGAAAATGATATCTGAATCGCCAGTTAAACAAGACAAAATAACTTTTAAAAATTCTGTTCCGATGAAAAGTCGTCCGGATACTGAAGCATCCGGATATCTGGCGTCCGGATATCTGAAGGTCCACTGTAATTTAATTCTGGTTGTAACGCTGTATTTGATTGGATAAAAAATTTACTTTATATCGTATAAAATGGGTTGCCTACGTCACAATGACTTGCGTCAAAAACGTATCAATCCGCCAATACGTATCAATATGTTATACGGCATAAACTTGGTTGGAACAGTTCACACTTTTTTTATAAACCGCTTCGCGGTTTATAAAGCGTAAACTGCCCCAACCCAGTTTATACCCTATAAAATGGGTAGCTATTAAATTCATTCCTTAAATAAAATCGAACTAGTTTGTGACGTCATAAAAACAAAAATTGTCAATAAACTACTTTGAAACTATAATATGATCTGTTAATTTATATTTCTCACAAGAGAAATATCAAGTCTTTTTGTTGATGTCATTATTTCCCAAGTTCTATGGTCGATAGAGTGATCTTGTTAGAAAGTGTACCTAAATCCTAAAAGTATAGATGTTAAAAAGATTTTTCAAATAATCATTTTTCAGCAAATTTGGTTTAAAAATGTGAAATTTTCTTGTTTGATGCCCGCTGCCCCACTTAATTTTTATGCCATATAAGGGAGAGACTGATGGAACTAGTAATGACGTTTATAATTTTGAGCTAAATATGTTTAAATCGCCCTAGAAAGTAATATTAAGTGGATCAGTAGATTAAAAAAAAATAATTAAACCGTTAAACAAGCATAATTTCTCTATAATTCATGTGTTAAAAATTTTCTTTTGCTTTTAATTTTAGAAAGCTAGCATAAATATCTTAATTACTGCATTTCTCCAATTTCACGATGCAATGTCTATTTTTAGTAACAATCCTTTCAAAAGGAGGCCCGGTTGATCCCAAAATTTACACAGATCTGGAAAGTACAAATACTTAGTTAAGATTCTGAGAAGTTTCAACGAAATCTGTAGGTCCGTTACTTTTATAGCATGGTATGGATCTTTACCTTAATTCGTATGCAGACAGAAAGTTTCATAATTCTTATATCAGTATTTACATACAAACTGTCTGCGTATTTTTCCGTTGATCCCATCATGACAAAGAAGTACACGTTGGGTTTGACAGGTCGACGGGGTTAGTTTACTCCTCAATGGCGCCTGATCATCTGATGTTTTAGAGATCTGTGTTTGCTCTTCTCCCGATTTGTATGGTTTCAATGGTCTTCTGAGCTTTATATACTGTTCGATATTTCAATATTTCATGTTAAACCGAGTTAATAACCGAGATAATCCTTTTGTTTTAACATTATTGTTTCAGACAATATTCCGTACTTGGTTGGGGTGCCCGCGGCAGTATTACTAGTATCACTTATTCTTATTGGAGTCTGTGTTTTCCAAGCACATCGAAAAAGGAGGTACTTTATTGTTCCTACAAAAATATTTAAATAATAGTTATTTTTTTCAAATTTATAAATGCAAGGAATTATACTTATAATGTGTCGCATACTCGTAGAAAGAGCGAAAGGCAAGGATAATATTGAATTCTGTTCGGTGAGAATGGTGTCAAATTGTTACAGCAACCAAGACATCAAATATTACAATATTATAACGCATTATATAATGTTGACGCTCGCGAAGTATTCATTCTGACTGTCTATATATATTTAGTGCGAAATCCCCACCATCGATTCCGCATCTTACAACACAAGTCGGGATCGGACGAGTGATTGGTCGGAGAGCCAACAGTTACGATGACACCCCAACAGCAGACCGGACTGCGGAGGAAGAGGAGTACGACTACATTCAGGAACCCCCTTATTTGGAGGTTAAACCAGACAATGGTGATCCAAATGTGTACCTGGATATAATAGCAGACGAACAACAGAACACACGCGAAGTCCTACAAAATGGAGTCCAACCTACAAATCATTCTGTTAAATATAAAAATACCGAAAACACCGAAAATGTTTATTTGGAACCTATATCTGATTCAATGAAGTGAAATGTATTTCATAAAAAGGAGTGAAACATTCAACTATAGAAACCTCTTATATTTCTTATTAACCTGGCTTCTCACTCTCCGTCAAATATAAAGTTTCTTAAGAACATCCGCAAGGTACCTTACCTACTGATAATTTTTTCAAGATATTCTAAATTTAAACTTATATCACCATTATATGTTCCAAGACAAAAAATCAGCATGTGTTACAAGGGGTTTTGAAAAGATGTCAAATTATGAAAATTTTTACATTATTCAAAGAAAAGTACAAAAATTACAAAACATAATTTCCAAATTTTTTTTCATCAAAATTTGTTTTAGAAGAGGTGTACAAATCCATATATATAGACGTTAAAGGTATTGCACACAGGTCCTTCATTTAGTGGAACTCTTCAACTCCAGGGAAGATCCCAATAAAGTTCAAACTACTTTGCGTATGACCTTAGTGGTAAGCGATAGGAACTAAGGAAGAGTTGTTTATATGATTGACGAGATCAGTTACAATATGATATGCCTGTCTCATTGTAGAATACATAGAGATATAATGGGTATAATATATCAAGAGAACATTACACGCTAAATCCCATCTCATATTTAATACCAGAGCAAATGGTCTCATGTCAGCACAAGGGTCAGAGACCCGAGTACAGATATGACAAGCAAGACTGACAATCAAGACAGAATCTAGTATTATATATTTAAAGAAATATTCACATTATTATCACGAGATGGTATTCTTATCAATATTTCCTAAATTTTCAATAAATTAATTAAAAATAAATTATACATTGTGTATAAATGAAAAATGATTTGTTTTATTGTAGTATTACCTTTTTGTATTTAATTACAACTCCTCTGATATAACCAATACATATATTTTTTTAATTCGTATTGTAATCTCTTTTAATTCGTGGTTAAACAGGTACTGCCAGTTCATATTTCTGACATTAAATGTATTTGTATTTATACTTACATTTGCTAAAATATTTCTTCAGATGGGCTTCGCAGTTTGCAAAGCGTAAATTGCCCCCAAGTTATGTTATATCGTATAACATAGGGTAAAATGAGCTTCATTCCTTAAATAAATCATGTTAGTTTTATTAGAAATATGATTATACCACGTCCGGTTTCATATGCATTTTTTGCACATGATGTGAGGTTTTGAACCAGTGGTTATCTTGAAATTTTGTGACGTCTCCCTAAATGCATTCCAATGTACTGTAAATTGCAAGACTACACTAATCTAATGACAACTGAACATTATATTTTTCACTTATTTTAATTCATCTCATCGAAGAGTATATAATTGTTAAACCTTATAAATACATGGAACTCAGCTATATGACTACGACTGTGAGATTTGATTCGATGCTTTCAAATGCTTTAATCTAACAATAAAGACTGGGTAAGTATTATTTCCAACAAGTTCAAGCTTGTCACTGTATTAAACGTATAAAAGATACAGAACTGTCACATATTAAAAAAAACAAAGATAGTTCTCTAGTGAATATTTCGGGACTTAACCTCAATAAACTTCTGCCCATTTATTACTTATGATTATTTTATTTGGGTATTGCTGACATATTTATTATAGTCCATTTGTCCACCACAGTTCTCGTAATACTGTAAAGCGAAGCTAATGCACTCTCTGTCCACTTTCGGGACCGTCAGTTCCTTCATCAGCTTCCGGCGGAGAACATCATTGACCGGAAGTGGCGGTGGAGGAAAATACGTCATATTACCTGTAATGCATTATAACTTTCACTATTGTAATCAATGTTTCAAAAAAAAAGTAGTGGCGTTTTAAGAAATTTGCTTTGAGAGAAAAACATCTTACAGTTCTTTATATCTTCTGATATTGTATCTTCATCTTCAGGGGAAGCTGTGAAACAAAAAATTTAATTAAGCAAATAACTCTGTATTCTCCATTCTAATACTTGGCTTTAATACCAAGATTCCAAGAAAGAGCTGAAAAGATTTACCTGTTGTCGGGGTTTCACAAGAACAGTTTCGCATTTTTTCTTCAAGTACCTAAAGTGAGAGAAATAAAACACTTGAAATATTAATCATTTTTGTTTTATTTATATTCAAAATGCATATGTATCAAAGTTATACCTAATTTCTTTCTAAAGAAAAATGGAATAAAGAAAACAAAAGATAAAAAGTTTTTACATAAAATCTTTGATTTTAATACTCACTGCCATGCGATCCAATAGATCTTCAAAAGCTTGAACTATATATAAAATACATTTTTAATGAAGAAATGTTTATATGTATTTAAGTACATGTTCTTGTAGAAAAAAGGAACCATTAACCCCTTAATGTAAGAGTTGTCTGTTATTTAAAATATTTACAATATCAGAAAGTATTAGAGTACTGGTAAATTATTCGGGAAGGTTTGGCTTTTATCTTACCTGTCAGTTCTGGTGGAATGCTTCCTGGTTCACCCTTTGGTCCCATGGGGCCACTTTGTCCCGTCTCCCCCCTCTCCCCCTTTTCCCCAGGAAATCCCTGAGTGCCACGTCTTCCTGGCCTTCCTTCTACCCCCTTGATTCCCGGCTCTCCACGTGGTCCAAGTTTACCTGGTTTACCTCGCTCTCCGCGTGAACCAGGCTCTCCAGGTACACCTTTTGGACCACGTGGACCACGTGGTCCCATGTCGCCCTTTACACCTTTAAACCCACGTGGTCCCATGTCGCCCGGGTAACCGGTTTGACCTCTGTCACCTCTTGGTCCCTTTGGACCAGGTATTCCAGGGGCACCCGTAGCAACATGCACATTTTGGAGATTCTAGTAGAACATGTTGCAATATTTAAATAAAACATTTCCTACTTTTTTAACTACTTCTGTAGTTCTCAAAAAAGTAAAATGAGATCTGTCATCAAAAAATATTTTCAAAAATTGAATAAGTATCAAAATTATCACTTGATATAAGTGATCAAAAAGGCATAAACTGGAAACTTGACCATTAAAACATAAATTCAAAAATGGATCTAACTAATGCAGCAAAATAATGGATCTCTATACGGCATTGTAGTCAAGGTATAGTAAATGGTTGCACAAGAAATTCACCATTGGGCTATTACTTTTTAACTGTCAGACAACATACACACATATTTGTCCCAATGACCAAGTTCTATTAAAACACCGGAAAACAACGATCAATATTATTAACTGCTAGTAAGCTGATCGGGTTTGATTGAAAGTCACCTTTACGTTTGTAATTAAACTACTTGGAGTTTCAAAAAAAATGATGATGCTTAAAGATAGCTTCATTTTATCTCAGTCTCTCACCTTATCTCAAGTTTTCGACTTGTCCTCACTTTTCACTTTTTTCACTCAATTCTTTATCATTTTGTTTTCTTCCCTTTTTGCAACTCTTCACCTTCTATCTACCTTTCACTTTGTCTCAACATCGCAAGTCTCAGCCTCTAACCACAACTAATCTTCACGCAATTTCCTTAATTTTAACCATGTATTAAACTCAAACCTTGTCTCAACCTCTCACCTTGTCTCAACTGCTCATCTTGTCTCAAGATATCAACTTGCCTCAACCTCTCACCCTGTCTCAACCTCTCACCTTGTCTCTACCCCTCATCTTGTCTCAAGATCTCACCTTGTCTCAACGTATCACCTTGTCTCCAACTCTCACCTTGTCTCAACCTCTCACCTAGTCTTAGCCTTTCGACTTGTCTCAACCTCATACCTTGTCTCAACCTCTCACCTTGTCTCAATCCCTCACCTTGTCTCAGTCTCTTAGCTTGTCTCTTACTGGAATCTCACCTTGTCTATAAAATCTCAACTTGTCTGATTTCTTTGCATTAAACATACTTACATCTACTTTTTTCTGAAGCATATAGAATTGTTCGGCTAAAATGAAATAAAAAAGACGTGCACTTACTAGTATATCGATCATATAGGTCTTTGATTAAATTTAAATAAGTCAGTCAACAATTTATTCGTTAATACATGTACAATGCATTATAAAAGCTAGGGGTTTTTTTCTTCTAAGATCCGCACCTGAGATAGAGGTGGAAACTCCAGGGTTACCCTTCGGACCAGGTAATCCCGGGTCTCCTTTTGCTCCTATTTTTCCTGGCAAACCAGGATCGCCGGGTGGTCCTGGGGTCCCCGGGGAACCAGGCATTCCTTTTTCTCCGGGATTCCCCTTTGCACCACGTGGCACTAGTTCCGATGGCCCCGTTATACCGGGTCTACCTTAAATGATACACATTTACAAATTGGTTATAAATAGCTAATACACATATAACGACATTGTGCACGTGATCTGTGCTGTGCTTCTATTTGGCTGGTTACCTTCAGGCCCCGGGTCCCCCTTTTCTCCTTTCACCCCTGGCAGACCAGGCAATCCTCTTGATCCCTCCGGTCCGACTTTTCCTGTCTCCCCAGAAGTACCATTCTTTCCCTTTAGCATGATTGCTTTTGGCAAATGAAGTAAAAAATAAAACACTAATCTAAGAAATCCGGGAAAAAGTGATTCCCTAACAAATTTACTTACGAAATAAAGCCCTCTTGGAAAACAGATATCTCGAACGACACTAAAGCTCTACTGGTTTGTACTTATACCAAACGAAAATAAGAGTGGCACTTGGATTTGACACAGCAATAAATAGAATACTGACCCTTGATTTAGTCTCTTTTTGTGGCCAGATTCATTGCAATCAGACTAAAACTGTAGGAAGAGTAGCCTTTTAAAAGAATTTTACAGAATTTTTTTATTTTAGTAACCGTGACAAAATCATTCAACAAAATTAAAAATCAATACAGACAATTATGTGTAGTCTACTTGTGTGCCAAGTTATACTGAAATCAAATCAAAGCTGTAGGGGGAGTAGCGTTTTGAAAGTTTTTCACAGAAATTTCTATTTTTCGTTTTATGATTATGGGATATACTGTATTATGTATTTAAGTGCAATCTACCTAGGTGCCAAGTTATATTGACATCTACGGAAGCCCTGGAGGGACACTGACTTATTTGTTATGACTTATTTGTTATAACTTGTTTGTTGTGACTTAATTGTTATGAATAATTTGTTGCTAGTTAAAAACGTGTAGCATGGCTTAAAATGATATTTTCAGATCCTCTTTAATTATGGTTTTAATTGATTAATTGTAGTTTAAAATCTAATATAAATGTGACCACTAAATTCTTATCTGTTGATAGATACATTTACTTACTTGTTATGACTTATTTCTTATGACTTACTTGTTGTGACTTATTTATTATGAAGGTTTTGTTGCTAGTGATAACTAAGTATTAAGTAGATACGGATAACGTGGTAGCTTGGCTTACGTTTATTATACCAGAAGTCTCTGTCGAGACTGTAGCTCTACTGGTTTGTACTTATAACAAAGGATGAGAAAAGAAGCCATTGCCATCAGACCACAACTGTAGAAGGAGTAGCTTTTTAAAGGAATTTCATACATTTCTATTTTTAGTAACAATGGCAACACTGTTCATCAAAATCAAAATCCGATGCACTATTTTATGTATCTTAGTGTAGTCTACTTGTGTGCCAAGTTGAATTGAAATCAGACCAAACCTGTAGGAGGAGTGCATTTTAAAGGAATTTCACAGAAAAAATTCTATATTTAGTAACCATGGAAACACCGTTCATCAAAATCAAAATCCGATGCACTATTCTATATATCTTAATGCAGACCACTTGTGTGCCAAGTCATATTGAAATCAGATCAAAATTGTAGGAGGAGTAGCGTTTTAAAGGAATTCACAGAAAATTCTATTTTTAGAAGCATGGCAACACTGTTCATCGAAATAAAAAAATGATGCACTATTTTATCTATCTTTGTGTAGTCTACTTGTGTGCTAAGTTATATTGAAATCAGATCAAAATTGTAGGAGGAGTAACGTTTTAAAGGAATTTCACAGAAAATTCTATTTTTAGTAACCATGGCAACACCGTTCATCAAAATCAAAAACCGATGCACTATTTCATGTATCTTTGTGTAGTCTACTTGTGTGCCAAGTTATATTGAAATCAGATCAAAATTGTAGGAGGAGTAGCGTTTTAAAGGAATTTCACAGAAAATTCTATTTTTAGTAACCATGGCAACACCGTTCATCGAAATCAAAAGCGGATGCACTATTTTATGTATCTTAGTGTAGTCTAATTGTGTGCGAAGTTATATTGAAATCAGATCAAAATTGTAGGAGGAGTAGCATTTTAAGGAGGCTCATTACACCACTTTTTGATGACGTACTACACAAAAAAATAAACCTCCATTGTGTCGACCGGTTTGCTCAGGGGATGAGTTGTATAGGTACCTCTATAATATGACCCTGACCTTTAAAACGCTTTAAAAATAGATGAAACATGCGGTGTTGTAAACAGTGAAAACAAAGTAGCGGATTCATTATGCATAAACCAAGAAGAATTGCTTTTAGGCAGAAACAAAAGAAAGCAACAGTCAAATCTTCGCCAAACAAGTAATGTCAATTTCATAGCCATGCATGCAGTGAACTCTATCAATCACAGACATGGGCGTATGTATGGAGGAAATTCGAGTTAAAATCTACAACCTTGTTGAAATTAAAATTTTATTTAATTGCGCTTTTTACTGTGTTGGTGTTAATTTATACATTTGTTTTATTGATTTAAATGTATACTCTTGCAATTTAAAGCTTTATTCTGAATTTTAGAAGTAATGTTAAACGTTCCATAGTGTTTCGAGTCTTGGCTAATTAGGAAAGATAACTCTTGAAAGTGGACTTTTTATACCAAATATTTTTTAAATTGGATTTTTCATTACGTTTAAACTTTCTTCAGTCAATTTGACACATGTAATTCATTAAAATAATACATTCCTTGTCTCTTCAGAACACATTTTTAAAATGTTTTATGCATAGATTAAAAAGATAATGACATTAATTGTTTTCTAGGATAAAATTATTTTTTCTAATAAAATTATTATTAGGTATTATGAGGTATTTTCACTGTGTGTACTTGTCTTAAGAAGATGCCCATCATTTGACACTGAAAGTTCTGAAATTCTGTGAATAATAAACCTGAAATAAAACATTTAACTGAAATAAAACAAAAACTAAAAAAATCTATAAAAAATATTTATGATATCAATACCCCCATCTGGATATTTGACATCTACATTATAAGTGGTGCTGTATTGAAATCTAAAATAAACTGAGGATGTAATGAGCCACCTTAAAGGAATTTCACAGAAAATTCTATTTTTAGTAACCATGGCAACACCGTTCATCAAAATCAAAAACCGATGCATTATTTTATGTATCTTAGTGTAGTCTACTTGTGTGCCAAGTTATATTGAAATCAGATCATAACTATAAGAGGAGTAGCATTTTAAAGGAATTTCACAGAAAATTCTATTTATAGTAACCATGGCAACACCGTTCAACGAAATCAAAATCCGATGCACTATTTTATGTATCTTAGTGTAGTCTACTTGTATGCCAAGTTGTATTGAAATCAGATCAAAATTGTAGGAGGAGTAGCGTTTAAAAGGAATTTCACAGAAAATTCTATTTTTAGTAACCATGGCAACACCGTTCATCAAAATCAAAAACCGATGCACTATTTTATGTAACTTAGTGTAGTCTACTTGTATGCCAAGTTGTATTGAAATCAGATCATAATTGTAGGAGGAGTAGCATTTTAAAGGGATTTCACAGAAAATTCTATTTTTAGTAACCATGGCAACACCGTTCATCGAAATCAAAATCCGATGCACTATTTTATGTATCTTAGTGTAGTCTACTTGTATGCCAAGTTATATTGAAATCAGATCAAAATTGTAGGAGGAGTAGCGTTTTAAAGGAATTTCACAGAAAATTCTATTTTTAGTAACCATGGCAACACCGTTCATCAAAATCAAAAACCGATGCACTATTTTATGTAACTTAGTGTAGTCTACTTGTATGCCAAGTTGTATTGAAATCAGATCATAATTGTAGGAGGAGTAGCATTTTAAAGGGATTTCACAGAAAATTCTATTTTTAGTAACCATGGCAACACCGTTCATCGAAATCAAAATCCGATGCACTATTTTATGTATCTTAGTGTAGTCTACTTGTATGCCAAGTTATATTGAAATCAGATCAAAATTGTAGGAGGAGTAGCGTTTTAAAGGAATTTCACAGAAAATTCTATTTTTAGTAACCATGGCAACACCGTTCATCAAAATCAAAAACCGATGCACTATTTTATGTAACTTAGTGTAGTCTACTTGTATGCCAAGTTGTATTGAAATCAGATCATAATTGTAGGAGGAGTAGCATTTTAAAGGAATTTCACAGAAAATTCTATTTTTAGTAACCATGGCAACACCGTTCAACGAAATCAAATTCCGATGCACTATTTTATGTATCTTAGTGTAGTCTACTTGTGTGCCAAGTTATATTAAAATCAGACCAAAACTGTAGGAGGAGTAGCGTTTTGAAAAATTGTTTACAGACAGACGGACAGACAGGCAGACAGAAGGACGGACGACGGACACCTTACTATCGCATAAGCTCTTCTGGTCTCTGACCAGTAGAGCTAAAAATGAAATGTTTAGTTCTAATTCAACTATTTTTTGACGAATTGTTGTACACAAACTTGCCTGTATCATATATCATAGGAAAAAGATCGATTTTATAGTTATTTGTGCTTTGAGCTTTCTTTATTTTTGTTATCTCGCGTTTATTTAAACCAAAAACGTGGCGTGAGAGATGGAGGCTACTTGCTGTTTAATAAAAGAAAAGAAAACACCTTTTGCCTTTGAATTAAATACTAACGACAAGACAAAATGTTAGTTATATTCATGCGTTCAATCATTATGGAAACTGGAAATTACAAATAAAAATTAAACTTAAGTAACAACTATTAAGTAACAAGAAATAACATTAAAGCAAATAACAATTAAGTTACTAGTATGACAAAAAATATATATATCAACAGATAACAATTTAGTAGTCACGTTTGTATTAGATATTAAACTACTATTAATCAATTAAAAACCATAGTTAAGGTATAACTTTACTCAGATGACCAAAAAATCCACTGATAAGAATGAAAAACCATCTATTGCACATTGTACACCTATGATTCTTGTGTTAAATTTCAATTTCAAATAAATAGGTCAATGACCTACTTTTCATGCTAGTGGCCCCTGAGTATTTCTAGGGAAATACATGTACCTCAATTTTTCACACTATGACAATTTTTTTCTTTACATACAAAATATTACAAGCAAGTAAACTCTTTAAATAATGAAATATTATAGCAATCGAACAGCATTGCTTCATAAAAAGAAATCATTAGAGTTTAAGACATAAATGTGACAATTATTACAGTCCGAATTCCCTCTGTCTTATTTACATTTTCCCCACATTTTTAATCGAATATGACTGATAAGAACTCTAAATTATTTATAGCCTCAGATTACTTTTCTTGCCCTAATTTTCA